TGGCAAGCAATACATCCGTCTTTGTTTCGCACCTCCAGCTCAGGTAGGGGTCAGGCAGACGTTATCACTTTGAGACGTTACGTTTAAGACAGAGTTACCTGCGGAGAAGGGAGGAGGTTGCCAAGGATGGCAGTGCATGACAGTGGGGAGGGATGGCTGAAAACGGCCTTATGTTACACCGGAAACACCTAAAAACCACCAGACCCCGAAAACACACCGTGGCCGGCCTGGATAAATGAGCAAGAGTGTGGTGCTTGACGCTAATGCCGTCGTCTGTGGGGCAGCTATCGGACCGACTGTGGACGGGACGCAAGGCGGCGTACCGCTGGCCATAAATCAATCAAAGCGAACCGGCTGGGCGGCGTATCGGCGACAATTAACCCTGCCACCGGCTAAGGTCGGCAGCGAGGAGTGGGCCAGCTTGCGGTGTAGGGCACGAGCTGAGGGGCTGTTCGGGATCCATAGGTTAGATCCATAGGAAACAGGGTGAGGTATGGTGCCAGACCTAGGTCAAAATTAACCTTTTTTACTGGGTTTGCTTCATGGAGTAGCTTCTGATGCTCTTTTCGAATTTTTGATAACAGCGATAACAAGAGACATCTCTCATCGACCTTTTAATGATCAGAGTAGTTCATTAACCTAAAATGACCTCAATGAACATTTTGTGTCTGGGAACTTACCGCGTATCATTATCATTAATGCTTTGAAATTTATAATCTAAACAATCTGGCAGGCCTTTGGTCACCATGACCTTCTAAAGGTAAGGCAAGACCACTAGTATAACATGAACATAGTTACATTTTGCTTAGAACAGGCACCTAGGTTCAGGCTATTGCATGAGATATGAGGGCACTTTTGGCACCAAAATTGAGTTTGACTCTGATCTTATTTACCCAAAGGTCATAATGCATGGATCTCGAATTTTGACAGAAGCCAGTTTACATGCATACCAACCCACCCTGTGACCTTGGTTTCCCTAGCTCTTAGTTTTCCTTTTCTATACCTCAAGGGGTCAAATTGACCCCCCACCAGAAATCCGAAACTTTGGGTGGAAATACACAACCCAAGCAAGTTATCTTTTATGCCCACCATTCTGTCAACGAGCAGTAAGAATGGAAAGAATATGACGCCATACTAACGTCTAGCGGCAGGAGTAAAAGCTAATTAATTGGATGTCACGATTGCTGGATATTTTGAACATAAGATCTTACGACTTCGGATGTAGCAAGCTTGGATGCTGTGAGTTCTGCCAATGACCACGGTTTTGATGTTATGACCGCTGGATATTGCGATTTTTGATAATACGAGCACAAGACACCACTATCTCGGGCGTTTGGTGGCTCCCTCGGTCGATAGCCCTCAGACAGCGCTATCAGGCGTACATGATGGAAGCCTCCGTGCGTGATTGTAAATATTTCTGAAACGCTGGCATGATTAAGTTTGTTCGCTAAAGTTGGCGGCTAGTATATGGTAATACACTGCCTTCGGATCATAGCATGCAAAACAAATTCCACGGCCGAACATTATGGTGCCAGCCTGTGACCTCCGGCCAGTGCTATCAAACATGCATTGTTACAGTCTCTGCACGCCAAAATAATTACGTTCAAAACACTGTTGTGGTCTTGTGTTATTATTCCAACACCACTATATCTGCGTCTCAATAAATCAATAGAGGTCGCCCCCACTCGGCGATACGCTGTTGAAGGTCACGGAGGGCTATAAAAAAGGTGTCGTCGGACGAGCGCCATTTTACGGTGCTAGCCGATGACCCCCGGGCCGTGGTTCCACACGCACCCTATCGCAACTTCCTCACATTGTTATGTTTGTTATCTGCTGTCTTTTACCTACCAGGGGATATCCCTTCCGATCTAGACAGGATACCAAGAGCTTCCCTGGTGCGCAGATCTGGAACGCATGCAACATTTGTGGAGGTAGATTGTTTTAATCTCTCATCCATATTGTATGGGGTCGGCGATTTCTTGCCTTATATTTTCCGAACCTTCGTGGTCTTGCGCGTGGATAAAGTGAAGCATGGCCTGAAGGAGTTTTGATCTATCACCGTTCTAGCGCCCGCCCACCAGCGCTTGTCAGCACAGAAACTTCGAGTCAAGGCTAGATGCTCATCAAGTTCAATGGACTCAGTAAAACTCTTCCCTGTATTATCGTGGACGCGACTGGCGAGAAATATTGCGATTATCGAAACTTGTTTTGAGTCTGTGATGATTTATAGAAGCCAACATTAACGTGAGCAAGAGGAATAAGAAGTCGCACCACAGCATTCACAACCAGCATTGGGCCAGTGCCTGAACCGACAGTGCCGGTACCGTGCAGTGACAGATCTTAATCAGAAAACTTCGGACACCAGTTCCGGTGGCGGTATTAACATTACAGTTCCATTCATCAAGCTATATGTGTGCAACCGGGCTGGTCCCGGCCGAAACAGTAAGAAATGAATCCACTTACGCCCAAAATATCCCAAAAGCAGGTTTTTGACCACATTGCCCGCACTTTCACCTTGAAGTTCTGCATGGGGTAGAGCTCAAACTGGAAGGAGAGGGCTTCAGCCTCTCCCCCAGCTTAAGTGGGTAGGAAATCAAACTCATGGTTGAAATCCATGAGATGTTCCTTGTCCTCGAGGCTGGATGATCCCAACTGATGTGCCACGACGACGGTAGCACAGTGCTGCGGCGTCATCTCGCTTTCCGTCATTCTGTCAACAACCAAATTCAAAACCCAACTGACCAAAACAAATCCAAAACCCAACTGACCACCTTGTCCTCGAGGCTGGATGATCCCAACTGATGTGGCACGACGACGGTAGCACGGTGCTGCGGCGCCATCTCGCTTTCCGTCATTCCGTCAACAACCAAAATCCAAAACCCAACTGACCAAAACAAATCCAATACCCAACTGGCAAAAGCAAATACAAAACCCAACTGCGCCTCGACGATGCGGGTCATGTTCGCACCGACGTTTATCTGGCTGATTTCCCCACTGAATGTGAAGACATCGCAAACTGTTTACACTTATTGGCCTGTTTGACATCAACAGGCGTTGGAATGGCGATGCTGCTCGGTGTCATGTTACCGTGGATCACGCCACTCCGCTGCGGACAGGTCTGGGCGTCTTGTACATTCATTTCAAGCCATGCTTTACATTGACGCATTACATGACTTATTTTGCAACACAGAAAGCTCTGTCGTGCGGAGGCCCTACTTCTAATATGACAGTTTTAGGCTTCGAACTTTCAGCATTGAGGTCTGGAAGCGTTTCTGATTACTGAAGAGCTCCGAGTTCCTTGGTCCACTCGTCGGACATCCCAAGTCCACATCGCCGTGCGCATGGTGTGTGGCCACTCGTCTGCAATGTCTGACCCGTTCTGGGACCTGAGCCTGCCGGTCCCGTTCAAGATGGACCACGTGCGATTCCAGAGCAGCTTCGGTCTTCTCACGAAGGAAGAGGTGCTTCATGGAGACGAAAACCCAGTCTGGTCCACATGGCAAAAACGTCAGAAGTGATCCCGGAACTTCTGATTCTGATTCAGAAGCTCTCTCGCACCCCTGTGGTGCATCTGAAACGGTTCTCGCCGCAGAAAAACTGACAGAGAGTCGAGCTCAGCACAGCTGTGGACGTCTTTGCGAGTAGACTGGATCTCTCACCTTACTCAACCGTACTGGGAGACTGCAATTACAACCTATACGGTGGGGCCAACCGTTCTGGCATGGCTTGCGGGATTCACTAATCACTGCACAGCCCACTGTTACCACCTGCAATTTCCAGACTGGTGCGAGTATAAGAACCCCGGAGTCCGGCCCATCCCTGTGCTTCGCGCCAACCATTGTGAAGCGCACGCCCTATTCTTCGTGCCGGCTAGTCGCTGACCGGGTGCTGGCCGCAGCGCCAGGACTCTATGGGATTCCAGAGGGTCGTCCCACCGGCAGTCACGCCAACTGACCGTCATGTGAATAACGGCGCAAGGAGAGGTAGCACTTGCGAATGATTATTCATGTATCTGGCATGTTCATGTACGTGTGTTGATGCAACGTAATAACTTGTGAGTGGTCACAAACATATTTCAGATTTTTATTACCACAAATATTTATGTGGCCGCTCGTGAGTAATTACGCTAGCCTTGACATGATAAGAAGTGCAATGTATTGTTTTGGCGTGTTTTTGGGAGGCCTCTCACCTAAGCAAACAATGAAAAAGGGGTGGTATATAGTCAGTGATGCGTGGCTTTTCAGTAGATCAGTTCCGAGAAACAATGTGATTGGTACTTGCAGTGTGTATGGCAAGGCTGACTCGCACACCGTGGGTTAATCTTTAATCCCTACACTTACAGAACTAACCAAGTCAAGTCAAGCGTCATGCGCTTTCAGGAGCGAAAAACGCTAGGCTGGCATCGATTCGGAGAAACTTGAATCACAAAAAATCGGCAACCAGGCATTACATCATTCAGTCTAAGTTAACCACTGAAATATGAAGACCAATGGAAAGGTAGCTATAGGGATACACGTGCGCAACTGACATGGAAGTACTTGACTGGCTTACTTGAATGTTTGTGCCTCTAATGCATTGAACCCGTATGGGCAATGCCGAAGCTCAAAACACAACTCCCGCGTGCTGGTCATCCGCGCTCCGACTACCCGTAACGTTGACGTTATGTTACGATGGGAACGTTTTGCTCTGGCATGCTTGGTGCGTTAAGAGCTCGAGGTAGCACATCCCCCTCATCGCCACGCGACAGCCGTCCCTGTCTGGGCATCTCCATGGACTAGCAACAAACACGGGTCTTCTGTGACGCAGCACCGTAGACTGTGAGTGGGCCCCCTGGTCTGCCGTTGTCGTTCAGGCGGCACGCTCCTGGCGCCCCTAGTCTGCCGTTGTCGTTCGGGCGGCACGCCTCTGGCGCCGCTGGTCTCCCGGGAACGAGGACGGGAGGAGGGCGAGCCGAGGCCGACGGGCGCCAGTGCGCGCTGAGGGCAGGCGGTGCGAGGGTGGGTCCGGTCGAGTCCGGCTCTGGTAAACGGAGATGGGGACGTCAGACGCGCCAGCTGCCGAGGATCCTCCCGGCAGGAGTGAGGACGGCGCGTGCAGCGTGCAGGCCATGGTGAGACTCTGACAGGCGCTGTTCTCGCGCCATTCTCAGTGATAGTAAAAGTAATCCGTGGAGCAATGATCTCATTAGCAATAGAGAGTGAGTGAAATATTTCGAAGGTTCCGGAGTCAGATCTATATCAGTGACCCGAGTGGAAGATATGGCATAAAACGATTATGAAGCCGCAACAGATATTCAATGAACAATTTCCCAATGATGATCACACCGTTCGAGTAAGCGCTGATCTATAACGTAAATCACACAAATACAGTCACCTTTTCATCTATCTGATCGTGTCCAGTAATGTGAATACAATTTGCCAAATAGCCCCAGACCCCGTGGATGTATTTTGCGCCCAGATCCACGCAAATGAAGGCGCGATCGTCTCCAGTCATGATTGGTCACCTGGCAACAGAAGCCTAACCAAGTGTCGTTTACCTCTCCAAACGTAACCCAATCACTGATGTCCTCAGGCGTTCATCAGTGAGGAAAATTCGGCTCCACTTGCGACCGATCTGTCTGCTTGTTCGGGGAAGTCTGAACCGAGCGCCAGTGGTGCTGAGCGTGGCAGCTGGGGATCCCAGCTGGAGTTCCTGCTCTCCTGCCTATCCTATGCTGTCGGACTGGGAAATATCTGGAGGTTTCCCTACCTGTGCTACCAGAATGGCGGAGGTGGGTTCGCCTTCGTAAATGCCGTGTCCTCGACGTTCAAGGAGATGGGGTCTTCTTTATGGTGGGTACATTTGGTTAAAATTGCTTCGCCCGTTCGTAATTAAGACGGAAGACGAACAAATCTGAACATTACTTACCTGAAATTAGCTTATAATTGTATATGGCCGTCATGTCACATTTCCACTCGTCAGCGACCTTAAGACACAGCATAGCCATTTCTGGTCTGATAGGCCTATGACAACGCTGAGTTGTGAGTTACTTGCCGATCCTGCTCGGTTCCGGCTTCCACGCTCCCATCGGCGTGAGGGAGAGAAATATTAATGATCTCTTCACAATTGAACTTTTAGAAACGCTAGAAAGATTACACTTCTTAGGAGCATTGATAATCTTTGTAGTATCCTGTCCGCTCAAACACTAAGTCAGGTGTTACCCTGAGTATTTGCCAAATACTTCGGTAATAACAACAATAGCAATAATATAACGTCCGAGGCGTCCGAACACGCCGCGCCCCCTCCACGCGCCACCACCCAAGGTGAACTCTCTCGCGCAACTGCCACTTTCCTGGCGCGTAGACGCCCTAAACAACTGCCATACACCACAATCTTGCACATACTTGCAACTCGCGGCGGTATTCATGTTGCAGCGGGTATGACAAGGGTTCTGTGCACGGGTGATTCCGATATATTCCCTGATGCTGACTCCCAGAAGTCTTTCCCATGTTATACCCGCTGACGTGTCTAGAAAAAGCCCCGTTCCCTGCTGATCTGCCTACGCGCCACCGCTCAGCACGGCTGATTTCGTGCTGGACGACTCTTGCCCGCTGAAAAGTTCTACCTTCTACCGATTTCCCGGCATGCTTTTGTTGTTCTACACCTGCTTCCGCGCGCTTCCTGTTGTTCTAGACCTACCTGTTTGTCTGCTACTAGTCGAATTCGCACTGCAGGAGTGCCTCTGGTCCCGTGCTTCCTGCTGTTGTGCTTTGCAACCCACCGACCCCATCGGCTAACCCTGCACCGTAGGAGCGTTTCTGATTCCGTACGTGCTGATGCTGTTCTGCACGGGCGTGCCGCTGTTCTTCTTCGAGCTGACTCTGGGTCAGTTCAGCAGCCGCGGGCCGATCGCCGTGTGGAGCATCTGCCCTTTGTTCCAAGGTTAGCCCCGCCGGCCGCGGCGTCCCCGGACGAGCCGTGTCGTGGACGAATAAACAGCCAGCAGGCGCCGCTGTCGCACGCAGGATAGCGGGGTCTGCTCAGCGACACCTTGGTAGATGTCTAGCGTTTCGGTAGATGCCTGGCGGTCGGTGCTGGTAGTTCGCGCTCACATGCCTGCTGAGAGTGGACTGGTGTGTCTGTGTCTCCTCAGCGTTTGTACATTTCATCCATAAGTTTGTTCATTTTCTGGGCATTTGTGCGGCTCATGAGTGCAGACAAGTTTCCACACACCTTCCTTTGTATAAGCCTATCTTATCTGATCTTGATACGCCGGTCAAAACTCGTAGTCATCAGACTAAAACAGCTGACTCCGGGTTACGCATGCATCATGCGCACAGCCGTCATTAGCTTCCCATCACGTTGCCCTCCTTCATGTGTCATTTACATCGTATGCTTCGGCAGGCATTGGTTACGCCATGTTCTTCATCTCGCTCTTTATCGGTATCTACTACAACATGATCCTGGCGTGGACGCTGTTCTACTTGTACTCCAGCTTCACGGACAGCCTTCCCTGGAACAGCTGCGACAACTGGTGGAACACCGACGGTAAGAGGCCGCAGCGTGCAGCGACCTCCTCATAGTGTGTGAGTGCAGTTGCATGTCATTTCATGTTTGCTTCACATTGCCTGTTTGAAAGACGGGGAACGATGAACGCCGTTTATATTTGTCTAAAGGGACCTCAGTGTTAACACCACTGCACGTTGCACTGCGCCTGGACACTCACGCATGAACTAAACATGCTGCTTGTTTACGGTTCAAGATCGCTTCACCAACAAAAAACATGTGGACCAGCTTGCCAAGGTACATCGGTACCCTCTCATGCTTTAACACACCCACTCATGGTTCAGTCGAGTTTATCTGGTAGCTGGCGTTCTGGATACCCCCGGCATGCATATTCTAAGTAAGAAGAAGCAATAAACACGCCTTTTTATGCACGAAATCAAGCCAGCGCTTGCTGAATTTGGTACATGCGATGAAAAACATTTGACTCCATTACACGGCACAACTTTAAGTTTTGCCTCCCGAACAACTGCAACGTAAAGAAGTTATCCACAACCACAATTTATAGTTTGGGATAAGAGTGGAAGAAGATACGCACAAGGTGGTCGCTGCAGTGTGCTCAGAAGGCGCAATGGGGCAGTTAAATAGCACTCGTGCGCCATTAGAGAACGTACCATCCTTGCGAGCTGTACTCATTAGAGGGATTTAATCCAGCCGATAATTTTTTCCAATGGTGTGTTCTTTTATAGGAATAAAATGAGACCTGTTGCTCCAGAGAGCAGTTTTTTAACGCTAGCAAACGCCGAGCGGCAGAATGTTACCAGTTCGGCAGTTCTGGTTTCGGCTCACGATGCCGTAACGTTTCAGTCTGAAATACTGACGCATTGCTGGGTTCGGATGGAAGATGCCAGCAAAAGATGGCGTGTCTGACGTGCCCGAAGGGCGTTAGTTCATTGACAGAATGTGCATTTTTGTAATGTTTGTAAGTTGTGATAATTGATATATATATATATATATATATATATATATATATATATATATATATATAAATGAAATATTCAACAGCTCTTCGTCATAGTGAAGCGCAGCTTACATCGATCTGCTTGCACGGAATCGTTTTTAAAGAGCACATTTTGAAAAACTGCCATTGCTTTGAACTGTACTCCCATTGCCTGAGAAATGGTGCTTAATTCACGTCTTCTAGTATGTTATGTGCGAGCGGAAAGCGTCGTCTGATTTGGCATTTAATTGCTTACATTACTTATCACTTTCACCAAGTATTGACGTTTGTGCTAGTTTTCAAAATATAGATGTCTTGCTCTTTACTCCTCGACACAACACAATCCTGACGTTCCAGCCTAGCACTAGAAGCCACATAGTTCAACGGCTCCAATCCAGTACCGGAAGCCTAATAGTCCAACACTGTTAGTTAACGTGAAGGAACGCCTGCAAACACGCCTCTGCTGCATCTTGCAATCACGCTCTGCCGTGTTGTGTTACAGCGTGTCGCCGCTTCGACGCGAGGAACTGCACGCTGGCCGGCGGCCTGCTGAACGGCACCGGAGGCTGCGTGCTGAAGAGCAAGGTGGATGACGGCACCTGGGCCTCGCTGAGCGAGGCGGCCGGCAGTCTGAAGATGCCCGCGGATGAGTTCTTCCAGTACGGCCCGCAGCTGGCTCTGGTTGTGCTGTGTGTGGGACTGGAGGCGGGCTATGATAAGCTGTATTTGCCTATGAGAGCACACTGCGTTGTAAGTCTAGCTTATAGTGGCTGGGAAACAAAACCGGCGGGTCACATCGCCACTGTCTTGTATTGGAACTATGGAAAAAGAAGTCGGCGCTGCGCAACACGCACCGTTACTTTTCGCGCAGTTTGATTTGGCAACACATGTGGACCACGTCGTTGATAGCAAGCAGCCTTTGCCATATTGTTTGTAGGTTGATAAAATCGATGATTTTGATGACTCGTGGAAACTGCATTTGATATCTCGTTAATCCCACGCGTTGGGTTTCATGTCAAGCACTTGGAGCCATTCGGTAACGCTGTGCTGTATGATAATACGTGAGTGGTCGGCGCCGACCGTCGGGGTTCGGCCCTGCCACCTTGCCTTGCGTGCCGCAGTAACTACATGCTGAACATCACGGAGGGCATACACACGCCGGGCGGCATGCGGTGGCCGCTGGTCCTCTGCCTGCTGGTGGCCTGGACGCTCGTCTTCCTGGTCTTGCTGAAGGGCGTCAAGAGCTTCGGCAAGGTCAGACACCACTTAGAGCTATCATTTCGGATCGTGAGCTAGCTTCCCATCGCCGCCATCTGAGCCCCAGCTATGGCATGCAGATGATAGTCACTATGTTTTTTGTTATTCTTGCCTTCGTTGTGATTCCGTGTCATGGCAACACCTGTGCTATGTGTGGAAAGTCTGCACAACTTGAGTGGACGATCTTTTTAAGATGGATTAGATGGATATCATGAATTAGATGGATATGATGGATGGATTAGATGGAAGCCCGATGTCGTTTACCGTTCTCTACGATGTTATCACTCGCGCTCGCTTCACGTCACGGGCCGGCAATAATTTGGGAGTCCTTATCCAAAAGTGCATCATACCTACAAAGTGCAAACATTCCACGCAAACCTAGTTGATACGCATGTGCCTTAAACACGCCAGCGGCGTAGGGACCCCTCCCCCAAAAGTGAATGTACCAAACCAGGTCGCTTTCACGATGTCATAGGATTAATATAAGCTTCCATGTTAAGCGTGTGGACATGGCTTCCCGTCCCCCGTCCCCCAGTTCCTTGTGTGCCACATTCCGCGACCCTCCCCGACACGGCTGCTGTGTTATACCCCTCCCCTCTCACCCTAGTTCTTCTCACCCCCCCCCCCCCCCCGTTCCAGGCAGTGTACTTCACGGCCACGTTCCCGTACCTGATCCTGCTGTGTCTGCTGGTGCGTGCCGCCACCCTGCCCGGCTACGTGGACGGCATCTATTTCTACCTGACGCCGCGCTGGGAGAAGTTGGCCAGCGCTAAGGTGGAGAAACTCTACCGTCTTTGATTGGCATGCTCAGGTCAGGTCGTTGTAAGCCTGAAGTGCATGGACGTTACAGTTTGCGTGTCAGGCTGCCCATAGATGTTTGCATGTGATTGGTACTTCTCAGCCTACCCTGTGACAAATAATTTTTTTCGTGACGAAATTCAAACAGAATAATTGCAAGCTTATGTTTTAATGCATGACATAACGACTGCTCGTATTTGGTGTGTGTACCCTGTCTTGTATTTGACCTTCTGTAGCCTGCATCTCGGGGTTCTTCGAGGCTTTCGTCTGCAGGTCTGTTAAGAGTTATCTTTAGAGGCTTTAGAGACGGTTTTTTGTTTTGCATCACTTCCGGTGTTGCGTTGCTTCAGGTGTGGGCAGACGCGGCCATCCAGATATTTTTCTCTCTGTCACCGTGCTGGGGCGGTCTCATCACCCTGGCCTCCTACAACAAGTTCCACAACAACCACTTCAGGCGGGTACTCTGATGATAGGCCTGGCGGTGTGCTTTGGGTGCAGGACGTCCTTGTCGCGCTGTTCTTCAAGGCGGGGCAATAATTCACTTTCCATTATTTGAGATCGAACGATGTTCGAGAAGCACTTAATAGCCACGGAGACAACTGGAGTTGGTATGTAGTCAAGGCGCAATTTGGATTCCGGTTATGTGACTTAGAACAGGCTCGCGATTGCGAATCAATGCGCTGATAATTCGGCTTGGAGCGTCCCGGTCCTTCCCAAACGGACATGGCATGACAAGTATATTGCGTTGCAGGGACGCCATAATCATCTCGTGTGGTAATTGTTTCACGAGTTTCTTCGCTGGCTTCGTGATTTTCGGGATCGTCGGTTTCATGGCGCATGAACTTGGGGTGAAGGTGGAAGACGTGGTGGCCCAAGGTAAGTAATGTCGCTGCTCAGTGCCCGCGCCGGCACCCAGTTTCAGAACCCGTGACGTTTTAGAGCTCCGTTGCACATGTTTGTACATGGCATTTGTCCACACGTTCAAATTCCCAAGTCAGCACCTCGAACATGTGACTTATCAGGATCTGGCGGCTCTTATCTCCCTGGTCAACTGCAGTCCGTGCACCAGCCGTCTGGTATGCGCCACCCGTGTTGTAGTTCAGCCGAACGCTACGTCCACAGGCCCCGGCCTGGCATTCATCGCCTACCCGGAGGCGGTGTCGCGCCTGCCCGTGTCGCCGCTCTGGTCCGTCCTCTTCTTCTCCATGCTGCTCACGCTGGGACTGGGCACGCAGTTCACCCTGCTGGAGACAGTGATCAGCACGGTCACTGACCTCTACCCCCACCGACTGCGTCAGCACCACACGTGCGTGTGTTCTGCGGAGCCCGTGCGTCGCGCCTCGGCTGGAAACTTGCAGCTGGCGGGGTGTTGGGTTTCCGTGGGCGTTTGTGACGCATTTGCTGACGTCATGCGACGCGTATGATACGAGATTTCTCCAAGGCACATGGTTTAAACAACCGCGAGTTAAGGGCGTAGCAGCATGCCAGACGATTCTATAGGTTAGACATCTGCGCGACATGGTCCCGATAGTACTCAAATAACCACGCTATGGCCTGTTTCATGTGATTTCTGTTCTGTTCCCAGATGGGTCCTCCTGGGCAGCTGTCTGTTTATGTTCGGCTGTGGCCTTCCCTTGTGCAGCAGCGGTGGTCTGTACATTCTCACTGTAAGTTTGTCCTTGCTCCATGTGAGGGCAAAGGGAGGGGGTAGGGGAGAGACTGAGCAAGCGAGGACACATGGGAGGATGGAGGGATGGAGAGGTGAGAAATGGATGAAAAAGGGAGAGATGGAGAGGGGGTGGAGGGGGGGACGAATGGACGGACGGAGCGAGGGGGACACTATGTTATAGACGACAAGCGACGGCCCAGCCTGTTTGCAACCGATTCGTACCGTCTAAATAACTGTCATCACCTCACATTTCAATCAATCATCCATACCTTGCTGACCGTGACCGTGCTTCACAGTCTGACCGTGTGCGGCCCTGATCGTGCCCTTATAACTGGCCTCGCCACCTCCGTGTCACCAGCTGCTGGACAGCTACGCGGGCACCTTCTCGGCGCTGACCGTGGGTATGGCTGAGGTGCTGGTCGTGGCGCACATCTACGGGGCCGACCGTCTTCTGGACGACATCCGCACCATGCTCGGCTACTACCCCTTCCACTACGTCTGGTGGAAGTGGTCCTGGAAGCTCGTCACGCCCGTGATGGTGACGGTAGGCCGCGCTGGTAGTCTGTGCTGGTCATTTGATCTGTGCGCCGTGCTGTTGGAGATGAGCGAGGAGTCGTGTGGCAAGCGTATCACCATGTGACGGTCGGCTGTGAACGCGACCATTACGATGGCCTGCTGACTTATAATTAGTGGAGTGTGCAGATGCGTGAAATATGCCTGCAGTAAGGTAAGAATATGCAATCATTTTTTTTTAATTGGGTCTTCTTGCTGGCAAAGCATTTGCATTAGAAGGCACATCGTACCTACGCTACATGCTGCCGCGCTCCCTTATACGGCCACGCGTGTGTATCTAAACCATGAACTTCCAACTGCTGCTTTGCATTATTGAACGTGTCTCAGGAGGCCCGTCTTTTCGGCGGCGCAGACTTACCGGCCGGTAGCGTGCAAAACGATCGCTGGCGAAACTCTGTCTCTCTCTAGGGTCTGCTGCTATTCACTTGGATCGACCACTCGCCACTGACGTACGGCGCCTACGAGTTCCCGCTGTGGGCGACGGCGGTGGGCTGGATCATCTCCCTCACGTCGGTCGCCATGATACCGCTGGTGGCCGCCATCAAGCTGTGCAGCATGGACAGCAGTTTGTCGCTCATGCAGGTAACGATGCATATTCAGCTACTGTGAAGTTACGCTCTGTGGCGCTTGTATGAGAGTGCATTTCGCAGTTTGTCATGTATGGAACAGCTACGTACAAGGGTTTGCCTTTTTCTACAGCAAACAGAACGTTTACATTTCGAAACACAGGCTCTTAGTGTCCTGGTAAGCACGATACAGCGTCAGGAGACCGGAGTCAGCCCATGAGCCGTTTGCGTTTTATGCAACAGCGTGCGGTTGATGCAGGGCTTGATGAACGCCCACGGCGATTGCTGAGGTGAAGTATTCTCCTTGTCGGGTAAATAGAATGAAGCCTGTTCACATCACCCCTCCGTTCCCCGTGTGCAGAGGGTGCGACGCCTGACGAGTCCGGACGCCCCCTGGGGACCCGCCCTGCCTGTGCACCGCACCGAGGCCAAGATGGCGGCCCGAGGGACCCACCACGGGTCCCAGCAGATTTGCAACGGTCAGTGCGTGTCCGTCACCGCCGTTGTAGCGGTGATATCTACCAGTGCAATGGCACGGGGGCTGGCACCAAATGTTACGTTGAGTTAGAAATTGTATTGTTGTTGCGTGTGCTTCGCCCTCGTATGTCTCCTCACGCATGCAAGCCGACGCAATGTGAGCCCCATAGACAAAACGAGTACATGACGCATCCGACCGCGAGTCCTCGTGATCCAATGTCCTGTTTTCAGATTTTACCCTTGGTAGTTTCTCGGAAGAGAGTGGAGAGGACAGCATTCCGTATTGGTAAGATGGACGCTTTCGAAACGGCAAATTATTTTGCTATCAACGTCATCGCAGCTAATGTGACTACATAGACTATCTCGTAGACAAGCAAAAACAAACGTGACTGCCCACGAACGAACGACTGTTTTTGAAGCATGGCCTGACCAGCTACAAGCACAAACGGCCGCCAACAGTTAGTAATGGTCCTCGCCATCATTGACTCCTTTGCTTCCGAATTACTTAAACTTCCTTTTTACGCTCTGATCTTCCCTCATTTCAGATTTGTACACCTTGAGTCGCGTCATCCCTGTCGTCGCACCTATGGCGACAATATGACGACAACGACTGGCTGGAATGCGTCGGGCACCCAGTGCTGAATCAGCTGTTATTGTGACGCGACATGACATTCACGCCGTGGTGGGCGTAGCGTCTTCCACGCCCTCAACGGCATCACATACACTTCTTTGGCATGTCACGCAAATGCCTGCGGTTGGAGATGTTTCATATTTGTGGAGTGATGCTGGAACTTTTGGATACTTTTCCGTAACGGTAATTGGTGATCTGCAATATGGTAAATGATCACGGACAAGACGGTGATATACAGCGTGAATCAAGACCAAGTGCAATAGGTTCTTGTCCACGAGTGGCGGTGCTTTGTATTGTGCACGTTTGCACAATTGTAGGCTGTTTCATGGTGTGGCGTATGAAGTAAGCATGTGTTTTGTGAGATATTTCATATGAAAGAACAGGAAAAGGATAAGGCAGTGTTCCAGCACTGTGTCTCTGAAGAGGAGCCGCAACCCCATCCACTGAATGGTTAGCTCAATCAGTGAGATCAATATTGGAACCATAGTTCCCCTAAAATGTCGTAAAATGCTCTCTAGAACGACGCGTGTTTCTCTACTTGTTAGAGATTAGCACCGCAGCCCCAAGGAGTTTTTTAACTCTTCATTTCCTCCCATGACTATCGTTTCAGATGGTTCCAGTCGCTCGCTAAGCCTCATCTCTTTATCGTTATGACAAGGGAAGCGTGTACCCAACGCCGTCTGGGTATTTATATGCATCATGTCAGAAGTGAAAATAAATAAATGTTGATGAGAATTACGTCAAAATAAATGAATACTGGCGCATCATATTCTACTCCTGCCGTCCCATACAGCTGCAACTACGTAGGAAGCGACCACTTGCCATCGCTGTCAAGACAGCCCACGCTCAGCCCACACTCAGCCCACGCTCAGCCCAAGCTCAGCCCACGCCCAGTCGGCGGTTGGCCGACACTCAGTCCTCGGTCGGCCCGCTGAGACGGCAAATTTACAACTGCCGAAAACGATGTGAGTGATGCATCTTAACAAGCGATACACCACAGTAAGTTGAACTGTTTGGTGTATCCGATATCCCGATTCGTCGGCTAAACTTAAATCACCAAAACCAAAAACGCGACCTAATTGTCCAAGCAAACGTGCTCTTTATGAAAAGCAGTCGCCTTGTCTGCCAAATTAAACCCCTCACATAAAATATTATACACTCAAAAACCGCCTCCAGCATAAATAAAGATGTCATATTTACCATGCTCAGCCACGGTTAGTCCGTGCAAACAGCCCAGTTAAACCCCTAATCAATGCGTGCGTCATATTTTGACAAGGGGAGGGCGTCACATAATCAGATGCTCAGAGGGCTTATTATAAAAAAACAACGTGAAGAGATAACAGTTTAATGTTTGCAATGGGTTTCGAGAAGTGCACTAAATTAGAGGGCATAAGTTCAACAGTGTTGTAGTAACAATATGAGCCCAAATCTAGTCTTGGCTTACCTGTGCTTTGATCAGTTGTTCGACCACGCCGGATCGCGCCGGATACGCCGGATCACGGTTTTCACTCAATGCATTAATTTCCATAGACTTTTGCGCGACGGACAAATGGTGATGGAGCTTACTTTGGAGACCTCTGCCATCTGTCTGGCTGTTGCTGCATGGACACATAATGGGGTTACGTTTCATGCTAACAGATTAACCGGAAGTACCCATTTTCTCAGCCCGTTCCCCGGGCGAAACCACGGTTGAACTTGGTGAAGCTTACCGAATGCGGTCATGCCGCGTCTAAAATGACCGATAGTAACGAGACGATCTCGAGTGATCCCTTGATTAACTTGTTCTCCCATCGTTATCTTTTAATAACCAGTCGATCGTTGGTTGGCTGACTCTCAAAGCATTTGCTGAATTGTTACCTTTTTGACCTGTTAGAAGTTGAACAATTTACACGCCGTCCCAAAAACTGTCGTCAATATGTGTTTCTCGTTTAGGTCATTTTTGGCATGGTTTTAAGAGGCTATCGTTGTACAAATTTTAACATGGCAACAGCAACACATGCCAGCAAAGGGCATTGAGGTCTTTCACATCCGGCTAAACGGCATTTAGTTAAATATCATACGGCAAGTTATCCTGGGGCTGCCGTCAAAAGATGATCTACGGTTCGGTGCGTGGTGCGTGTGCGAACACCGAGGAACGCCAAGCTCCTTCTGCCCCCCCCCCCCCCCTTCCCCATGACAGGGCGGTCGCTCCTGTGGTTGCGGCAAAACAGCCAAAACAGAAAAGCAGCCATGAGTTGGCCGGGCAGCCTTTGCTGCCATCGTGTCCTCTGGAAGAGCGCCAGCCCATGGAGAGTCTGGGGTGAGGGGCAGAAGCCTGCAAAAGCTACAAACGCCCGAGGCAGGGCACAGACCCGCCTCCACTGGGCGGGGCCGGGCGCACCTCACTACGAACGTGTCATCGGAGGGAGCACAGGCTCTTGGAAATGAACCGGCTCAGAGCGGGAGCCCACCTCGGGCCGCTTCCAAGAGCAACGGCACTGTCCTCCGTGCCTGTGAGCCAGCACCGGTCGGCCGTCACTCCCCCACATCGGTGCTCTCGCGGGGTGAGACGGCTGGCCTAGGCGGCCGGCCTGAATCCCTCGACCTACCTCGCGGCGTGGGGGCACGCGGCGCGATTGGCCCGCCCGGTCCCTCTCACCCCGCCGCCTCCATCGACCCCGCCGCCTGCGTGCCCCGCCATCCCATCGGGGCCGATGGGTCCGCCCCCCGCACCACCACCGAGAGAAACAGACGGACCCTCGACGTCACCTCCCGCCAGCCGTGGTGCCAGGCGAGCCCCACCCTGGCCGGTGTCGCCCGCGGACGGCGGGAGTCCCAGGTCACGCCCCAGAGTGCGGTCAAGGTCCGTCGAGTCCGAACGGCGTAGAGTTCAGTCGTTGGGCTCACGGATGGGATCCGAATCTCATTTTTAAAGGCATGACACCTGTCTGCCTGGTCTGTCTGCCGGTGGAAACCGTTCAGTGACGCGCAGGTCAAGCTGTGTGGCGGCGTCGTTTCAGTGGTGAAAACCTTCAAGTTCCTGGGCGTGGTGCTTGACTATCACCCTTCATATGTGGACCACTTTAAGGATTTCCGTGTGAAGTGCTTAAAAGTGGTGTCACGTATGACATGCCGAGTAAACCGCAAGTGTATGCTTCTATTGTAGCGTTGGCTAGCCAGGTCAAAGTTGGGGTACACGTGCCTGGCTTATGATTTAGCACGCGGATCTAGGAAGTGCTAGACACCATTCACCACGTATCCATTCGTACAGTCACCGGTGCGTTCCGCACGTGATCCACAGCGAGCCTGCTGGAAGACGAGAATGAACCCCCCCTTGATCTGAGACGACGCGCCTTGGTAATGTTGTATGCGACAAGAATTAGCCAATTCCCCACGCACCCAGCATACAAACGGACCTTCAGTACCCATCAAATACATTACTTTTCTCCGGGAAGGACCAGTAAAACTCAAACACTCTGTGTGCGTGTAAATGGTTAGCTGCACAACCCCGGTGTTGATCAAAACACTAAACAGACCCGCTGCAGCTTATCTCCGGGGCCGTGGCAAGTCGCTCAGCCCATGTGTCATATATGGCCGTGCCAAGTCGCTCAGCCCATGGGTCATATATGGCCGTGCCAAGTCGCTCAGCCCATGGGTCATATATGGCCGTGCCAAGTCGCTCAGCCCATGTGTCATATATGGCCGTGCCAAGTCGCTCAGCTCATGTGTCATATATGGCCGTGCCAAGTCGCTCAGCCCATGGGTCATATATGGCCGTGCCAAGTCGCTCAGCCCATGGGTCATATATGGCCGTGCCAAGTCGCTCAGCCCATGGGTCATATATGGCCGTGCCAAGTCGCTCAGCCCATGTGTCATATATGGCCGTGGCAAGTCGCTCAGCCCATGGGTCATATATGGCCGTGGCAAGTCGCTCAGCCCATGGGTCATATATGGCCGTGCCAAGTCGCTCAGCCCATGGGTCATATATGGCCGTGCCAAGTCGCTCAGCCCATGGGTCATATATGGCCGTGCCAAGTCGCTCAGCCCATGGGTCATATATGGCCGTGCCAAGTCGCTCAGCCCATGGGTCATATATGGCCGTGCCAAGTCGCTCAGCCCATGAGTCATATATCACTCATTCAGTTTCAGAAGGGCTCTACGCATCCCATCGAGCTCAAATAAAAAAGCCCAGAGGCTTATTTTTACAAAGTGCGTACGCTCTGGGCATTTCTACACCGGCGGTGCTAAAACGGCGCGTGGTTCAGAATGCTCAGACGTGTCGTCTCGAAGCAGCGAGCGTATAGCACTGCCCTCTTCGGCCTCCGTTTTTACCGCTGAATTGTGCGCCATTTCGGGCCGCCTTGACTGTGTCTCAAAGATTCAACCTCCATCGTCCACAATCTTCACTGATCCCCTCAGCTCCGTCATAGCGATTGAAAACGCTCAAACGTCCGACACTTATTTAATACTCCTGATTGCAGGAAAGCTCGCTGCGCTGAGAGTAAACGGAGAACACGCAGTGTCGGTCTGGATTCTGAACCACGTAGCGCTGCCTGGCAACGAGCCGGCAGACCAGGCGGCCAAGTCTGCCGCGCTTCTTACAACTGACAGCACGCTGCGAATCCCTGCAAACGACATATCCTCAAAAGGGAATGATTGTATGATTGCCAAATGGCAAATCCGTTGGACCGAGGAACACCATTTAAACAGGTCAGAATTATCAAACCATTCATAGGCCTGGGTGTCATCATTTTTTTTTAAAAATCACGTCAAGAAGAGACAACATTTCCACGCCTACGCATTGGCCACGCGCGCAGCAGGCACATATTTCGATGAAACAACGCCCAAGAGTTTCCCTTATGGAGCAGATGCGGGGAAATGCTGAATGTCACCTTTGTCTATGTTGGCTGTCGACAGCTGTCAGCCAAGAGGCAAAAATTCTTTGTTGGGTCGAAGCCACTGACGTCACTAGTTGGAAAACATCATGAAACAGAACCTTATCAATTGCTGAACTTTCTGTTCACTACCGGTCTTAGTGTGATATGCTCATACTTTGAGCAGCATAACGCTCAGGAAGTGATAGTTAAAACGCGAAACGGCCTCATTAGCCGATGCCTTCACAAAATCCCCAAACATCCGTACCAGTATTTCGTACTGTAGTGGGAGTCAGTAGAAGCCGCGTTTTCTGTGCGCACTTTTGGGTAGGGCCAGTTCTAGCACATACGCTTGCTCTACAAGGGAATCCCCACTTACCGCATGTCTGCATCGAAGCTGCAAAAGCAGTGTGGTGAAGCCTATTTGGTGTGAGCTATTCGATACTAGTGCCCTCATTTTCCCTCGGTGGGAGATGGCAGTAATGCTTTGTGAACAGACGCCGCGGTGGCTGAGTTTGGGGCCGATCGGATCCGATCCGCCTCCTGCGAACGTCGCCATGGCAATTGCCCTTCCGCGATTCAAATGTCGCCTTATTCTGTGGAGCCAGCCCACCTAGGTCGGGATCATGCAACCAGCTTTCATGCTCAGAGCTAAGTAGCGTAAGACCTAGAGGTTTCCGAGCAGTTCGAGCTGAGCTGATCTTAAGACGGTTGCATGGTTGGCGTCTTGCTATCCACGCATGCTACACAGATTCCTTGCTATCCCTTGATATATATCAGACAGCATACTAGTGGCTTACCACATTATATGCACGCTATGCTTAACTTCAGTTTTAATCTGCGAAAAAAGTTTCCGCCAAGCGTCAACTCTTGCAACGTAACCCCTTTTAGCCCATGAGTTTTAGCATAGCCCGTGATATAGTTAAATTTACTTGTCCACATTCTATTCGGACCCGGTCACCAATATGGCGAGTCTGCGACATTTCACGGTGTTAGAGAGAGCCGGAGATCCTGGGCCGATAACGGTGCTGGTTGGTGCCGTTGGTGCTAGTGATCCGTATGAAGGGAGTGCGTGTTGAATACTGTGGCTATAACTCGTTAAGCTAGGGATTAATGCGGTCATCACTGACGGAAATGAGCGGGTTATCCTGAACCAGTGTAGGGATTAGCTCACCGGTAGCTCTGAAGGCATGTTGTCCGTCCTCCACTCGCATGAGGAAAGGATACCGCTTCTGTTCGTGCTATGAGGATCAGCTTCAAGACTTTCTAAACTTCGTGGGTGGCTGCCCTCTCTTTTGATTGGTAGCCCTTAGTGCAGAATAAAAAGGGTCAATATGTCCAGTCCGGTAAGTATGTGCATGATGAAGTCCTTTTGCACTTCACTGAAGGTGAAGAGGAGTGGAATACATTGATATGCATGGAGTAATATGCAGGCCTGTCAGTATATGTGTATCATCATGACCTTCATGATAGGCTTGGGTAAATAAGATATATGATTGCAAAAAAGGCATCCATCCATAGACCAGAAATTGTGATCATTTGGCACTGACATGGTGTAAGAATGCATATCAAATTTGTAATGATAAAAGTCATTGCCAGGACCAAGGAATGCAAGACCAATATTATATCAAACATGGCTTACATAATGAAAACATTAACCACAAATGCCAGATCATATAATATGACTAAAACTGGATTTTTTTGGGTTGCCACATGATAGTGACCAGTTTCAGTGCATGGATAGCCTTTGTTTCAAATTATTGAACTAATTGTGCTTAAAAGACAAAAAAACAATGCCAAAATTCATGCACAATCTAGCCTTAACTGAGAGAAGTGCACATATGATATCTGGATTGGGCAGGGTTTGCAGCAGATGGACCAGGATGATTTTATGGGATACCCCTATGGTTACACTACATATGTAAAATTCAAAAGCTTTATCTGAAAGCACTAAAATCAGTGCATTAATGCTGTTCAGGTTCAGGTGCACAGTGAAGAGAAGTGTCCATCCCCCTCCTTAAACCTAGCAATTTTGTTTTTCACAGTAGATCACTGCAACAGAGAGTTGGAAATCAGCATGATGTACTCACCATGCTCTAAGCCCCTCCCTTCAGAAACCCTGGCTGTCCCATTGATATGCTGCTAGATCAGGCATAGCACAATTTTTAATTGGTAGCATATTTTTAAATGATGACAACATTTTGTATGGGAAGCTTGGCCCCAACAGTGCACTACATGTGCGATGGAATATGTTCTTGATGGTATTTCTTAAACTTGTTGATCACTTGATTTGAGTTATATTTTCATGTCAAATCTGTGGTAACCAGATTTCATGTAAAATACAGCACTGCACATACATGATGGTTAGGTCAAACACTGTTGGTAAAGTGTTGGCACTTTGGATTTTTTGCCAGTTTTATATTATCTTTGGCTATTATATGCATTTTTCAGAAATGTGCAAAGATCTTGGTATATGTGATATGATTTTATAACATTTTATATCCAAAAGTTTGTAGTTGTGTTTGATAATCAGAGTTACTTGGCTGGATGAAACAGTAGGATAGGGCTTTAGGTGTGTAATATTAAGGGATGTATGGTTGCAGACCAGTAACTGTAATGTGAACCCTTCAGAGGAGCTCCAGCATACCCCATAGCTCCACTGTGACTGCTGTAGCAGGCCAGTTGTATATTACTGCAGTGAGCATGCATATGTAATTTGCATTTGATTAGCAGCTGGCAGCCAACAGGGGTATTCAGAAGACAGCATAGGGTTTTTATAATGGTGCTATGGTCTGGTGCTGTTGTAGCTGGTGTGCCATGCATGTGATGTGGCATGCTGAAATATGCTGGCAAAACTTTTCATTGAAACCAGATTTGCTGTATTGGATGGGAAGGCCACAGTCTTGTGATAGAACAACAATGAAATACATGCTGCTTCTTTGCAAACAGGTTTGTTAATGGTATGTTTTTCAAACAATTGTGCACATGCCAATTAAGCACAGCTGACGTCAGCACTGAGTATCTCCTGCACTTGGCCTCAGGGTTCGTCGTCCTCGGGCGTCACAGTGCAAGAGTACAGTGTGCGTGTGCCAAAAGTGCAGCAGAAGCAGAACTGCGTGATGCAGTTCAACAGCTCGCTGCTGGTCGACTTCACAAAGTGGAACCAGGTGAAGATGGTCCGTGAGGTGCCAATCAAGGAGGCGGCTGGCGAGGAGGCCCCAAAGTGAGCACCCTGCGCGCGTCGGACACGTGCTGAATGCCAGCAGCCTGGGTGAAAGTGAAACAACGTGGCAGTGTCGATTATGACAGTGTCGGGTGTATAGTTGTCTGCTTCATTACTGTGCTGGCTTTTTCATTAAATAAAGCATGCTGGTGCACTGAAACTGTACGTATGTACTTCGTGCACATATTATTTTCCCGTGACGCTACCATGCGACCGTCGTACCTTTTCTGAAGGGATATCGTTTTAGGTTCGGCGCTGGCAGCGAATTTGGTAAAGATCTGCGAGAGGAGGCAAGACGTAAGAAGCTGGGCATTGTGGCTAAGAAGCATGCACCGGACTCATACCCGTGGCTCATGAAGGTGGGCGGCAAGGCGGGCAAAAAGTGAGTGCTCGCTGGCTCGTGGGGTAACAGTCATTGTCTCAGATTGCCCATTGGCTTATGTTTCCCGTCGACAAAGCTGACACGCACGTATATGCGCTGTGGAGCATCCCCACATAAGCGTATTTGACCATTGCGAGCCTTCGTGCTTTACTAGAGTGCGTTGGGTTTGCGATCGAGGAATTCGGGGGCAGATGAAGCTTATCATTATCATCAGCATCACCATTAGTCAATCTGCACGGCACAGCAGGGAATTCTCGCGAATCCACAGTGGTGACTCCTAAAACCTGGGAATGCTACGTCTGATGTTGTAGCAATGGGCTGACCATGCTTTCTGTTCATGACTAATGTCGATACCTCTGAAGTGAGGTCTGTTCTCTCCTTTCGGAAGATACCGCGGCGTACGCGGCGGCAGCATCACAGAGAACGCGTCCTACTATGTGTTCACGCAAGCCAAGGACGGTGCCTTCGAGGCCTGCCCGGTCTCTGAGTGGTACAACTTCCAGCACGTGCAGCGATACAAGGCGCTCACGGCTGAGGAGGCTGAGGAGCAGTTCACGAAGTGAGCAATCCGCTGACCTCTGTGGAAAGGGGGTGGGGTGTGGGTAATTTTTTTCTGCCGGGTTCCAACGAGAGCTATAAAAAGTTGACTAGATATTGAAAGTGTGATACCCTGTTTCATCGTGTTGGCGTTGTTTTCTGTTTGCTTTGTCTTGTTAGCGTGCACTACACACATGACCTTTTGTGTTCCGTTGAGCTTTCATAAAGTTCAAATAGGATTTGACTCGCCGTAGCCCGTGATTTTGTCGTTTGGTTAACTCCACGCTCTACCAGCGCTGCTAAATCTTCTGCGGATCGCTGCCCGCGGCTCCTGCGGCTTCAGTAACGCGTTTTATTTGTATGGTGTAAGTTGGCCAGATAGCCTTTTCTAGGCGATTTGCTTGAGCTTATAGAGTGGCCGCTGCTGTGTGCCATATGACGCCGCGACGCTCCGGCCCGAACGTAACCGTGCGAGATCAGGTGTGGGGCACGTACCCAGCACGCCGCTGAACTAAGTAAGGCGTCAACATCCTCAGGCGAGACAAGATCATGAACTACTTCAGCGTCATGGTCAAGAAACGGCTCAAGAATGAGGATGACGTGGACGAGGACAGCGAGGGACAAAAGGACAAGAAAAAGGGCGGCAAGAAAAAGAAGGGCGAAGGTCAGCCCCGGTGGTGTAGTGACACGATGTATTTGTATTATTCTCAATTTGCTACGTTGCTTTCAATTTTATCTATCGTATATTGTGATATTGTATGGAGGACGCCCAGCTTTTTACCGTATATCAAAGTTAGAAAAGCCAAAGTGGGTAGGTAATTTTGAATAGAAAAATAATATTTTGGATAGCTGGTCCAGAACGGGTAAGTTATGTTCGTCAGCGCGAATTAGGTGTGGCAATGGCTTCCGTGTCGTGACCCGCAGATTTTAAACTGACCGACATGGACGAGTGGCCCGACTCCTCCGAGGGCGAGGAAGACGGCTCGGGAGACGAGGCCGAGGACGAGGAAGACAAGAAGAAGAAGAAGAAGCGTGATACCAAAGGTACGAGCTTGATTTAATGCTCTGCACCTGCAAGGTTCGATGCGTTATGGTAACGTGAAGTCCTTGGAGACCTGAGCATGTTGTAAACATTACAAAAGACTTCAGCTGGAGTAGTCGTAATGCAAACTTGTCGCGCTATGCTGCCACAAATCTGGTGCCTGCTTCAAAATGTTGGCATTGTTGGAGCTGGAGAATGCAGATAAAATATTTATCACATGTTTCTAGAGAAACAGAAGAAGAAAAAACGGAAATCGGATGTCAAGGACGAGGCATTCGAGGACAGTGACGACGGCGATGATGAGGGCAGGGAGATGGACTACATCTCGGACTCTTCGGACAGGTGAGCGGGAGGCCTCCAGCGGGGGCGGGCTGTTGATTCTTCGCGGGGACGCCGAAAATCGTGGAGACTCGTGGTCTACAACAGTCATTGATAGCTGATAAATTATCGTGAACTGTTCAAATGGGCGTACGTCATTTGTTTGCGAGCTCAAATGAGGCGTTTTCAGCAAGATTACCCCAGAGTTCTGCGAAGGCTTCAGCTTTGTGCTGTCGTGCCGGTGACCCACGAGCCTGCCGTCGGCCGCCGTTGGACGCTGGCTCTGACCCGCTTTGGCCGGTGCTTCGGCCGATTCCAGCGAGGACGATCTGAAGCCGGCGGCGGAGGAAAAGGGTGTGGACCAAGAGGACGCGCTTAAGCGACTGCTCGACTCGGACGCCGAGGTGGAGGAGTCGTCCGAAGAGGAGAAGAAAAGCGACGGCGAGGACGAGAAAAAGGAGGACGAGGAGCCGCAGGCCGGCGAGAAGAGGAAGAAGAGCAAGAAAAAGAAGAAGAAAAAGGAGGACGAGCCTGAGAAAGAGGAGGACAGCGGCGACAGCGATGCCGTAGACAGCTCCGACGACGAGAAAGCGGCGGCGGCCAAGGCCAAAGGCGACGGGTGAGATGTTGTCTGGTAGTGCGCGGGTGGGTCGTCGCAGCTCAGCGCAGTTTGCTGTCATCCTCAATCAATGAAATTTCTGTTCAATTCTGGCCGTTTTGGCTGTACGCTGTACGTCTGTCGATGACTAATCTACCGCGGCTGTTGACCGTTTTCTAACAAATTAAGTAATCCCTGCTGATCTGAGCTCTGTGCGCTGCTTCTCCGAGTTCCGTTTGCCTTCTCCACCATTTGACCCGGTATGTGGCATGTTCCGCAGTACGGGAAACAGCTCTGCCGCGTCTTCCGGCACCACCGTGACGAAAGCGGAAAAGATCGTCAACGACATGAAACAGGCTGCAGATGGTTCCAACGCACCGTCTGGCGGCAAGCGGTCAAAGCTGGAGTCAGGCGGCATGAAACGGAAGCCGGAGGATGGTGCTGGCCTGACATCTGTCGCCAAGAGGGCAAAGCTCGAGTCTGTGCCATCTCCACAAATCGCCAGGTGGGTAAATGCCTGGCGTTCGTGGACGCTGGCCGCCAAGCTTACCATGACTGGAGTCTCTCCTGGTGCTGGCTGGGGGCCATCAGTGGTTTATCAAGGTGGCATGGGAGTGTTCCGCTCCACTCCAGAGCTCGCCTGACTACTTGTGGGCCGAGGATCCAGTGTTTTTGGGACAGGTCGGCTCACATCTCTCTGGCGCGCTTGGAATGTTAGAGCCACTTGGTGGGACTTGGCCCCCTGAATGAGATCACAGCCACGCCACTTATTGCTGTTATGCCTTCGGCTACCAAACATCCCCGCCTCGGTGACGCCTCCAGTGGCGTGGGACGTTACGCCTTGTCGTTGGCATTGCCCCCCCCCCCCCTCCGGTGGCGTGGGACGTCACGCCTCGGTGACGGCTTTGGTGGCGTGGGACGTTTCGCCTTGCCGCTGACATTGCCCCCCCCCCCCCCCACTGCAGCGACACGGGCATCACGGAGGAGGCAGTGCGGCGGTACCTGACGCGCAAGCCGATGACCACCACCGAGCTGCTGCAGAAGTTCAAGAGCAAGAAGGTGGGCCTCTCCTCTGACCAGCTGGTGCCCGTCATTGCGCAGATCCTCAAGAAGATCAACCCCAACAAGCAGACCATCAAGGGCAAGATGTACCTGTCCATCAAGAAGTGACCTGGCGGGCAGGACTCGCCGCGGGAGGAGACGCGGCGTGACGACGCCTGTGCTCTAGCTCACCCCCAGCGACGGGCGCCCGCCGGCGTCTGGCGCTGTTGACCGCCGGGGCCGACGCGCTTACGACCCGGCCTCTCGTTCGAGGTCGGTCTGCGGCGGCTGTGGACACTCAGGCCAGCGGACGTGCTTCCAGCGGCTGCCGGCCGGCATACGCTGCCGTCTCCGGGAGTCCAGAGGCGGTGCTGGTGCGTGCTGAACGCTGTGTCGGTGAGGCGGGCCCATCGAGGAACACCCGCGCTATTTATAGAACATGGGCCATCCGAATACACGGCCGGGCCGAGAGGTGTGAGGTGGCGCTCTGTGCCGGGCGGTTCCGTTCAGTCATCGCCGGCGAATGGAGCCATGACTCTGCCGGTGTAGCCGCTGCGTCCGTTTAGCTACTGGCACGGGACACGGAGCTGCGCTAGCCTAAGCTGGACGGGTACGATTAGGTGCTAGAGGGCTATATTCTGTTCCTAGGAAACAACGCGTCTCCGCTGAAGGATCAGTTGTTCGGGAAAGGCATGCCCGGGAAACAGTCCGGGCGCCCCTCAAATCAGCCGTATGCTTGCTCTAAAACACCACAGCAACTAGTTTCGCTTTATTCCAAAACGATGACCCACTCAAAATGATGCAGCGGAGTTCAGCAAAACCTCACACTCTTGTAAGACGCATGCTGATTTGGTGAGAACATGTGCTGACTGCCAGACACCCATAAGTCATCTGAGAACCGAGAACACCTGTTCGAACATCCGATGGCAAACCCCGTAGCCGGGGTCAGTGAGTCCTTACAAAACAGCTTCTCATTCATGCTGGGCCGTGGCCGAGGACGCCTGCCACTGAAACAGCACCCACAAGAATGCCGAGAAACGCTTGCCGAATAGCAGCAGTAACCAGCAGCGTGTTGTAACGCAGCCGACCAAGCACGTGTCCACGTCCAGCTACATGGCATTGTCCTGCGCGCCGTCTGGGCAAAAGTTCCCAGCTCAGTCGTCTGCCAGCACAGCCGCGGCCGCCTGCCCGCACAGCTGCCTTCACGCACAGCCGCAACGGTCTGCCTGCGCAGCCGCAGCCGTCTGCCTGCACAGCCGCAGCCGTCTGCCTGCACAGCCGCAGCCGTCTGCCTGCACAGCCGCAGCCGTCTGCCTGCACAGGTGCAGCCGTCTGCCAGCACAGCCGCAGCCGTCTGCCTGCTCAGGTGCAGCAGCCTGCCCGCACAGCGAGCAGCGTACCGGCCGCGGCACGTCGGACGCCGCCGCGAACGTATTCCCGCACACTCCGGCTCTCCCAGCATGTGTCACAGACAAGAGATCGCACACTTTCCGCAGTGAGAGCAAGCGACTCATTTCCAGGCGTCTGACCATGCGGCCAGCTCTGCCCACGTCCTGCACAGGCAACCGCCCAGCGCGGGCGAGATTCCTCACGACCGCATTCATACCAGCGGCCGCGAGCAGCGTCAGTCCGCAGGCTCGGCGGGCAGCTCCGTGCTCAGCCGGCGTTCGGACCGGGGCGACGGCAGCGTCCCACGACGCCCCCTCGGCGGCTGCCGCCGCCCGCCTTTCGCCCGCCCCGCCGGCCAGTGGCACGTCATGTGACTGCCTGGCCTCACACGGCGCCGTCACCCGGCGGCGGGTCACGTGGCTCGCATCGCGACGTCCTGGTCGTTGTCCTTCTCGCCGTTGTAGAATTCGTTGTCTGGCTCCACTCTGCGAATGGAACGCGCTCGTCAAGATCTGTTGGGGCAGGGAGGGAGGGGCTGTGCAACGTCCCAGCTCACGACCCGCTCCAAGAGGAAGCATCTCACAGGCCTGAGGATCGGTACAATACGTCAAAGACAGCGACAGACATCGCTGCCACAAAACGAGCCACTTACCAAAGCGCTAAACTCAAACCACGCGGGAAGTTTCACATGGCACAATGCAATGTCTGCAGCGGAGGTTTGGGTTACAAGAAACTGCGATGCCTAACGCGAGCCGCGACGCAAAACCAAGCCACTCATGCGCCTATCACCGTCATATCGCCGTACAATGCGCGTGGGCACCCCGAAGAATTCTCGGACTGGGGAGCCGCGACGGCCGCCGGCCTGAAACAGGCCTGAGTCACCAGAGGACCGCCGGGCGCCGGCGCACGGTCGGCCTCGCACCTGGCGTTCTGCTCGTCCTCCGGGTCGCGCTCGTCCGGGTCCTTCTCGTCCTCGTCCTCCTCCTTCTTGATGAAGTCCGGTGGCCGATCGTGCATCTGCACACTGGGGAGGTACCGTGGCGTCAGGGCAGCGATGGTGCGTCCGCACGCGAGTGGGCCCCTGCTGTGTTTAAAGTCCTGGCGAATCTCCACAACAGACCGTCCACATAATCTACACCCGAGACACGTTGGACAGCAGCGCCTGTTTCCTAGCATCCCATCCGCCTTGAGCAAACTAGCCCGACCGTCTCACGGGGCAGCAGCATTTAGAAAACATTAAAAATAACAACGCAACAAAACAGGAGAAGCAAAAACAAAAGGAACACCGACTATCCCTGCCCTCTACCGTAATGTTTGTGCCACCAGTGACCGCTCCGCTGCGCAGTGCACATCAGCCCGACGTGGCCGGCACGTGCGTACCTGCGACACTGCTGGAACCGACAGCCCCTCCCCCAGTCCGCGTCGCCTGGCGCCGGACGCGCAGCCTGGCTCCACATCGACGGCGGCTCACCTGGGCGCGAACTCCACCATGCGCAGGTTGTCGATAGTAGTGCGGATGATGCTCTCGATGTACGCCTTGGTGTTGCCGTTCTCCTGGCGCGGGATGCTGTCCACGTGCAGGCAGAGGTCCGGCGCGAAGTACTCAAAGTAGGCTGGCGGGGCACGGTACGCAGCGTCAGTCGGCGGGGTGAGGGTGGCCATCGGGCGGGCGGGAGCGGACACGCCGACGCACTGATCGCAAGAGGTCGGTCGGGTCTGCTGGCGACGCGGGCAAACGACCACCAGCAGCAGCCGCCGTCATCGTCCGGCAGAACAGGCGGCCAGGATAGCAAAAGCCTATACAACGGAAACACCGACTAACTACAGGTCTGCCAACTTGGATATCACTGTTCAAAAATGATTAGATAGTCCTTGGCGGAGTCTTTAAGACGTGTTTTGCCATTTGAATGACAGGACGACCACGCCTGCCACTAACAGCAGTGATACAGCGCACACCAAATACTAGACGCCCATCCTGCTGCCCAGCCGGCTCACTGGTGTAGGGCAGCTCGTCGCTTATGTCGGTGTCGACCAGGATGGAGGTCTCGTACGTCCAGCAGCGCGCCACGTTCTTCAGCACGTAGCCGCCGCCGCCCAGCACCAGGGTCGGTACGTTCAGATCCTTCACAAACTTGACGCATTCCCTGCACAGAGCGAGTGCATCAGTAATTACAGGGAGAACGGATTATTACCTGGTACGGGGCGCCGTTGCGTGATCACGAACTACACGTGTGTTTAATGGGCCGTTCTGCCGGGCCGAACTGACAGGAATCTGGGTGACGCGGGTAAATGGGCCGGGGTGATAGAACCAGACAATTTTTGGAGCAGCGGAGATGAAATGGGGGTGAAGATGACTTGAGGGAGAAAATATGATTTGCAACAAAATGCGTTGCTGGCAGTTACCTGTTTTGGCAGGCGACAGATACAGCGTGACGTCTTCTCGCGACCAACACCAGCTACACTGTATCAGTGCCACCCAAGACAGAGAGCCTTTTCAACTACACCCTCAACACTCATGTCACAGGCCGCACCATCAACACCCCGGCCGCTGCACCCACTCGCTAGAGCGGCGGCCTCAGCCAAAACTGCGCCGCTCCCCGAGACTGACCCGTGGCCCTTAGTGCTGAGGTTGAAGCAGCCGAGCCGGTCGTACGCCAGCGAGTCGGCGCCGCACTGCAGCACAATGGCCGTCGGCCGGTAGCTCTCCATCACCGCCTGGGGCACAACACGACAGTTTGACAGGCGCCACGGCATGCATACGGCAGAGCAGCAGCGGACTGGCTGCCTACACAGACGCTTCATCCAGCGTCTGATTTGTCATCAGAATCGCCTCTTAGCGCTGAAGCCTACAAACACATGAAGCGCTGCTGTTGAATTCACACTGTGGCAAAATGTTAACGAACGCGTTAACAAAGTTTTCGTGCGCCAGCTTCGGGCAAAAACCGCCCGCAGCAAGTTAAAGGGTCACATCATAAACACTGTATCGGGTCCACAAGCACTCCACAAATCTGCGTCCTCAGCTAAAGCCAGTGCAATGCCCAACTGCATCATTCATTTCCCCACACCGAATCGGCGAAGCGCGCAGATTCACCGTGATGACGGGCTTGAAGATCTGCATGTAGCTGGGGTCATCGATACCGCCCTTGAGCGGCACGTTGACCGAGTAGTACTTGCCGGCTTCCGTGCCGAGCTCGTACATGTCCCCTGGCCGGACGGAGACGCGCCTCAGGTCAGGGCCCGCGGACCCCGCGACTGCGGCCCCGAAGCCCACCGGACGGGCAGGGGGACCGCGGTCCGTCACATCACTCCTAGTCTCGACAGGCCACCAGGCCATGGGAGACTGCGACGCGCCAGGCGTCTCACAGGGCAGCACTTGTGAAAGGCGCCTTGTAGCAGCCGAGGCACCGCGTCATCCAACGAGTGCAATACAGCGTTCTGAATGTGTTGCAAAACACACAATAGCATGCAATGCTGATGCCACGAAGAAAAACTGGTATTCGAACGGTTATGCAGTCATGCTACTCGCAGAAAGATGAACTAGAAATGGGCTACCCATATGCTGGTGTGTCTCGTTGGTCTGTGAAATCGAGTAGTCAAGGTTTATATCGCTAACAGTATGCAACTCTGTCCCATGATTCGTTTTACGAAAGCGGCCATCGGTTACTGTAAAAACCCTGTGAGCATGAGCCTTCAGTTTCCAACAGACTTGTCTTCGCAGCATACCGTCCTGCCTCCCGCCGTGTTCACTGTAAGCTTACTCAGGCACCTGCCAAACACCGAACCCGACCGCCGAAGCCGGCGCGCGTCGGCCGTCTGGCCGACCCCCACCTGTGCCTGGGAAGAAGCCGTTGCCGTACTGGTGCAGCGACAGCGTCATCACCCGGTCCGTCAGGTAGAACGCCTCCTGCACGCCGTCGCCGTGGTGACAGTCGATGTCGATGTACAGCACCCGCGGGTGGTACCTGCCGACATCGCCCAGCGTCAGAGGCGCTCGGGGGCGCGGCTGACGGACGACTGCATCTCTTGCCACGACAGCATGCTAAACGGGTGCTGTGGCACGTGTGGCCTGACAACGGAACTGGAGTGTTAATCTGGCTGTCAGGCCCTGCGACTGGAGTCATAAAGTGCACAGGCTGTAGATAAGCAAGGCTGAATCCTGGCTGGACGCATGCTGCAGGTTCGCGAGACAAAAGTGATCGTGATCGCGTGAGACTGTGACGTGCCAGAAACACAGGTTTTTTTGCACGCTTTGAAAACACTTAAGGCTGGGTATCACTGTGCCCTCTGACCAGGGCCTCACTTCAAAAGTTCCAGAATGGCGACGACAATGTCGTTGATGTAGCAGAAGCCCGAGGCCTCGAACTTCTTGGCGTGGTGCAGACCACCGGACCAGTTGATTGCGATGTCACAGGTGTTGTGGTTCAGCTTGGTTGCGCCGTCGAGGGACGCCCCCGTGTACATCGAGCAGAAGTCGTACAGTCCGTCAAATACCGGGCTGTCGGGAGACAGCAAACACGAAGCCAATGTCAAACCAACACACTGTTAAGTAACCGGAGAATGGACACGAAGCCGGTATCCAATGCCGAACTAACCAGCGGGCGATTCACAAGAAGACTTACAGCCAAGAGCTTTGTGTGATTAAAATAAAGCTGATGTGAAAAAGAGAAGGCCCATGGCGATCGCGATACTGAAAGGAAAACCTACGAACTAGATTGGCAAATGAACACACGCGAGTCCACGAAGCAGGCCGACCGCGCGGCGACTGCATAGTCAACACCCACTGACCAGTCATCCAGGCCAACATTGAAGTGTGTGGCACTCTTGGAGAAGCCGTGGATGTTCATGGGTGTGACACGCTGCAGGAAGTCGATGTACTCGCCCGAGTGGAAGCGCACCATGTCCTGGCTGCTGGCGCGGTATGGCTTGTACACGTGCATCTTCTTGTAAAGGCCATAATTGAGCACAAGGCTGTGTGTCACTGCCAGCCGGTGTGGCTTCATCGGGTGACTTGGTCCTGCCAGGCCAATGTCAAAGTGCTCACTTCTCCATCTAGCGATGATGTGCAATCACACCATGGTATTTATTGCCTATGGTGTCAAACATCTGCCACACATGGCAACATCACCAATGGGGCCACACATGGCCCCATTGCTGATGGGTATTAAACAATGGCAGTGGGCCCTGATAAGCATCAAACAATGGCAGTGAGCCTGGATACCTGTCAATTGATGGCGGTGAATACAGCAGGCCCCGCACAAAGGTCAATGCATGCAAAGGTACTATGGCCTGTAGCATTAAAAAACAAAATTTCCCTTTTTCATGTGATCACCTGAGCACATAACTGGGAATCTAATTCATATGTCAGTGGATGACATGATCCAACAGTAAAACTACATGTTTGCTAATGACCAGAACTATTAGCAGTTGTGTACATCTGATTGCTGGGAAATTATTTTCAAAAATCAAAAATATATGTTCATCTGATTGCTGGGGAATTTTTCTAAAACATGACCACACACACAATAACAGGCTCATAACAGGTTGCGGCACAACACAAAAACAAAAGCATTAATAATCTAATGAATGTAGTAAAAATGTAATTTAGTCATAACATACAGTGCATTTTTGCAACACTGGTAACAAGGTTATATCACTGCTCTTTATTAGTACTCCCTTTATTCTAGTGTTAGCAAAACTGTGAAAATACATCCTATGCTATCTGGTGTAGCGGCAACATTGCAGCAACAATTTCCGAGCATGTACAGCACAAATCTTAGCACTAAGCATTTGGCACACCATCACCACCAGTTTTAGCACATAGAGTAAATGTGTCATAAAATAATCTTGCAAAAAAAACTTCAAGACAAATTCAATTGCATGTTTTTATGAAAACATGGAAACTTCAATACATCACAGCCTAGTTTATGTTTTGCACACCCAAGCATGTGGGCCAGCACACATATCTCATTTAGGCATCCTGTGAACTATGTGAAATTTGTCTAGACTGGCTGTTAACATGCCTACCAACCAGCGCACAATAAATCCACCACTGCACCAGTGATATCAGTGTGCTGATGTGGCTTGAGCTGGGGGCTTCCAGCTAAAACACCAAACCTCAGTCAATGTGCTTGCGTTTAAGAATTGTGCAACCGCACATGCAATTGTACTAAGGGTTAACATTTTTCTGTAAACAAATGTTCTAACATAATTTTTGCATGAAATTACCATCACATCTTTAAATGCCTTGAAACAATGACTACTGTTACATACTGGCATTGCTGCTGAAAAAACAGGACTCAGTGTTTGATTTAAGATGTGCATGCATTGACATTGTTACCGCCATTTCTAAACACACCGGAGATGTTAAGTGCATACGCATTTTTTTGCAGTCTGGTCTGCCAAAAAATCGCGAACTTTTTGCAGTCAAGGACTGGTAACACCGCTGAACTTACCAAAGTGGAAATTTCCAACATCAGGGTCATAGAAATAGGCAACAGTTTTATTGGATGTGCTTGTCATGGTGCTTATGCTATATATCTCAAAACACAAACACAATTACGTTAAAATTAAAGCAGTTAATTACTCTGATCAAAATAACAATCAGGCTTCAATTAACAGAGAGCCAGAAACCCCTCGCAGCTCGGAATCAGCCCTCATAGAGTTGATTTGTAGCACCTCGACATAAAATTGGCCCCGACGATTCTGGCCCAATCCCCACTCCTTCCCCCCTTCTCCAAACACGGCCCCGGACACACTGTCAAACGTTGGCGGGTGCTAGGGTACAGAGCTGATAGCGCAGACATGCAACAAGGTTGGGCGTATAGCGGGGTGAACAGGCTCAAGGTAACGAAAAAGTTATCTGACCTTTATCGAAATGACGTCAACTGAAGGCTACCAGATTGTGACTCGCGTCGCAACAGTTATGTTCCAACGTATGCAAGACCTTGTTAGCATGACTATTATGTCATTATATCCTCTAAGTCATATGTCATCTATGTGTCATTATGTGTTACCATTATTTCATTTATGTTATGTCATTATGACTATTACCTGCATTGCATGTCGAAATCCAACTCGTACTTGATTCGCCTTACCAAAATCGATTCTGTCTCGCCGTGCGTGGGGTTTATTCCGACCGTGACCCAGAGTAACTCAGCAAAACTTTAGGTCAACCAGAATTCTGGCGCCATTCGACATTTCACGCCCGCAGGCGATTGCGACAGAATCGATGCCGGTTACCGCGTGGTGGTGCAAATCACCCACGTTGTGTTTTCAGGGCATTATGGTCGTTTAGAACCCAAAGAGGACATTTATTTCGATAACAAAGTTAAAAAGCACTGTATTCACATGCGTACGAGCATTAAATGTCCAGTTATGAATATGACGTTTGTCACACCAGTCCACACAACAATCAACTCGGTTGACTCAGCTCTGACTTCCCCCAACAAGAGGTCCCGAGTTCATTCCACCCTGACGCAAGGAAATTTGTTGTTGATTCTGGCATCATCTCTGAATTTTGTCCGGAGAATCAAGCATGACCACACCACAGCTCTGAGCATACGTGAACATGAACGTGAACGATTCCGGTCCACTGGCGCAGGAACTACTAAGAATGCCGTCGCCACTGAGGCACTCCTACACCAATGCGAACTAACGAGCAATCGCATCCATAGGTTATTGAACTGTTTCGCGTGGATGGCGCTGTAGCGCAGCACTTGACACGTTAAGGTTAGGAGAAAGCGGTGTTACCGCTGTGGTCACAGATCTTGCAGCCACGTGGACGGGTGCACAATTCACCCTCGCTCACTGACAAAACAGGGTTGCGAATATTCTTTATTTTATGAGTATGTGTGCAGTGAACACCGTTGGGCTACAGTTTGTATGACCGCGCAGGTACAAAAATACACGGTGAGATTCTACATGATATATGCCACCATGTGGACGGACACAAGCGATTCTCCAGCTATCAACAACCGAACACGGCATATAGCTGGTCAAAAACGGTTTACCTAAGGACAGGAAGAAATTGTGATATTTCAAAACAGGCAGAGGACCGTAAAAACACGTCCAAATACACAACCAAGTGAATGATCCGACACACCAGCTCCTGCCATGACAACGGCAGCCGAAGATACTGCGGATGGATGGAACAGATATCGCACCCGGCACAAGCCTCATGCCGTTCAAACATGACGACCAGCAGAACTGTGGTGGACAACTAATTCGCATAGTTTTTAAGCAGCCTCTCTTCGTGTTAACGAACATGGCAGATCATTGGAATGTGTATCCCAAAGCGCACTAAAGGGCCCCAGTATCACGACTCTACGGGCAAAGAATGTTATCGACCGCATTCCAGATCGTCGCAGCAGCCTGGCACCGGCAATGGGACGGCGGCCACCATAAGTCTCTGTAGGATGATGTTCAACAGGGGGAGGTCGCAAGCACCGGAGCGGACGCCATCAGAACAGCCTCGGGAGCGCGGCCAGCAGCAGGAGGGCGGCCACGGAAGCGGACACTGTTGAGGCCGTGTTACACTGCTCGTCATACTGACAGAAGCAGTATTCCACCGAGTCGTAGTAGTCCCTAGAACAGAAGCACGTGTCACTGGTAGGCACTACACGATTCGGAAAAATCGAGTGAAAAAGAGCCGGATGAAAAAGTCGAAGGCAAAAATTCGAATGAAAATAGTCAAAAGGGATACAACTTGACAAGGATAAAAGTGGAATCGGAAAAATCGACAATATAAAATAATCAGCGGAGAAAACCAAAAAAAAAAAACAGCGCGCAGGAGAAAAAGCCGAAAGCAATAATAATGACAGAAAGTCGTTGGGAACACAAGTCAGGAGGAAAAAGCAAGGTTGAAACAATATTTCAACGGACAGAAGTGCGGCACGGACAGACCGCCATTGCGATCAAAACAAACAAGTACGCAGTCAAGAGAATTTAAGACAGGGGAGTCTCAACGATTCGACGCTTGGCATAACAACAGGATGCTGCCGACTGCACTCGGATGCGCCCGTGGATTCCATGGGTTTGACTACCCTGCATCCCTTAGTCCTCTAATTTGGGCTCGCGCTCACTCGGCAGGAAGCCAGCCATCGAGCCTTCGCGACTTAATCATGCAAAATCGGCCCTAAGGCTAATCCCCGATTCACTCCGACTTCGCGACTGTCGGAACCTGGTTCCCAAGTGTTAGTTACACACATCGGGCACCGGTTCGCACTGGTGTTCTCCAATATCTTATCCCTGTCGACGTTCATCCTTCTCGACTTTTTCCAATTCGACTTCTAATCCTGTCGATTTCTTAGCCTTTTATTTATTGTCCTTCGACCTTTCGGATTCAACTTATCTCCCCGTCCACTTTTTTGGTCTACTTTTTCATTTGACTTCATGTCCCGACGGCGGACACCACACAATTCGGTTGATCATGTTGCATCTGCACGTCAAAAGCGCATAACGACACCAATACAGCGGCAGCCTGCGACTGAGACCACTACTGCCCGCAAAAGACACTTTGAGTGTAATGGCTAGGTTGAAGGCCCTGACTTCCGCGGAAGAAGACAGGGTTCGATTCTGCACATTGGTCATTGTTGAACTATGAAAAAGTTACGCATTTGTGCAGATAGCCCTTCTACCATGCATCGCCGCAGCCGTCGCGGCTGGGTGTGGTCCGGTCGGGTGTGGCCCACCCACGTCATCGGGTGTGGTCCATCCACGCTGTCGGGCGTAGTCCACCCACGTCATCGGGTGTAGTCCACCCACGTCATCGGGTGTGGTCCACCCACGTCATCGGGCGTGGTCCACCCACGCTATCGGGTGAGGTCCACTCACGCCATCAGATGTAGTCAACCCACGCCATCGGAGGTAGTCAACCAACGCCATCGGGTGTGGTCCACCCACGCCATCGGGCGTGGTCCACCCACGCCATCGGGCGTGGTCCACCCACGCCATCGGGTGTGGTCCACCCACATCATCGGGTGTGGCCCACCCACGCCATCGGGTGTGGTCCGCCCACGCCATCGGGTGTGGTCCACCCACGTCATCGGGCGTGGTCCACCCACGTCATTGGGCGTGGTCCACCCACGCTATCGGGCGTGATGCACCCACGCCATCGGGTGTGGTCCACCCACGTTATCGGGTGTGGCTCACCCACGTCATCGGGTGTGGCCTACCCACGCCATCGGGTGTGGTCCGCCCACGCCATCGGGCGTGGTCCGTCCGCGCCATCGGGTGTGGTCCACCCGTGCCATCGAGTGTGGTCCACCCACGCCCAGCTGCGCAGCTCACCGCTTGGTGTCCAGCTCCTTCAGGCTGTTGAACGTATAGAGGCCGAGCCGCGGGTCGTCGGCGGCCCTGCGGCAGCCCTCGTAGTGATCGGCCGGCACGTCTCGCCGATTCCACTGCAGCACGCTCAGGCAGTCGCGCGTGATGAGCGTGTCCGCTGGCGGTACGACACGGTCCGTCAGACACCCCCACCCCGCGGCGGCTCCCCCCCCCCCCCCCCCCGTCGGAGCCACTTCCGAGTGTCACCGAACACTGCTCGATCCGGATCTCTTCTCTGGTATCGCACCGCCCAGCCAAAGGCGTGCAATCACACGCATTGTGAAGACACAAAGTATATAACGAATGCAAGGTAAGATAAGTGCTAAATGTATCAAATCAACATCATGTGCACAAAGGTTACCATGTGTGGATGGAATTGAACCACTTTCGACAGCGAAAAAAAATGCACTGTATCGAGATATTCCATTGAGTTGACATGGGAAGTGCGCTGCGCGGTTCCTTCACCACGCATAACCAAAACATCATCATAACATGTCTTACCCCCCTTCTTTTCTGTGACCTTCACACAGACATCCCACGGAGTAGGGCAGGAGATGCTCCAGTAGAGTTGGGGCGAAAAGTCTTCCCCGCAGCCCGGGTGTGTGCTCACGCACTGATAACACCAGATGGCCAGGCCTGAAGCCAACAAAGCGCCGGTCAACGCCGGTGTCAAACCAGTCTTGACCTGGTAACGTCACGCCTGCGGTCGCCCACTTACAAGCTGACATGTCACGCTGGGAGGCGGCGTGGCCGGAGTGGCATCGACAGCACAACACATCGGAGCGAATGCAACGATACGATTTTGCGCTGGTTATGGTCATCCCAGCGGCATCGCCAGAGCAGCTTTTGTCAACCCTCCAATTTGCGTGACTAAAAAGTGCAACCTAGCTACATGTACGCCTGTTCTCGAACAACGTGACACGCGCAGACGCATTCTGTTAGCAATACTGGGAGCCCATTGGAATAGATTCTTCAGTACTATGACGCCATGGTATCATTAATATCCATCCATGATAACGGTAAGTAGTGAAATCTATGAGACTTTGATATCCTTTGCCTGTCCTTTTACCCTATGGCTTCTTTATCGCACCAACCACATAACGTCGCATCATATTATCGTATCATGTGCCACAATGTCACCAAGATCAACATGATGCCGTTTTTGGCACTAAGGGGTCATCATCCACCACGGCACGGGCAATCGTGATAAGGATTTATCAAGTTCACCGGAGAAAAATGATTGTCTCTTTTCGGATCAAACTACAGCTGGGAATTCGCAGATCCTAGTGTGACTCGAATTCGAACACATCCTCGGTATTATAATATACTATAATAGACTCTATTCGAATCTTTGCATCGAGATTCATGTGGCCCGATGAAAATGCGGGTGGGCGAACGATGCGGACGGGAGCAGAACCCATATAAACGTGTTGCATGTGGATTATTCAAACGTAACGGGAACCCAGCCGTTGTTAATTACATACATCTGGGGACTTAAGACATGACTTTCGGCAAGTGTGGTTTTGCGATTGCCATCCCGCTTTTCTGGACTTGAATCATCGTGTTTGAAATTCAGGGATTCGCAAGATTGGACCCATTCGAATCCATTCAGATCAGTATCATCAGAGGGAGTGGGGGCGCCTTGTACTCCGGTGAGCGATTGTTGTACACAACGCTAAATAACTTGGCCATGTATTTAACGTGGAAATTAAGCTGACACTGATCACTTCCTCATACAATATTCTGAAATCCACTGCCGGCAAAAGTACCAAACCAAAGTCCTTCTACAAAATCTGAACAGCATCACAAGCATAATGCTTAATGAAAGTAGCCTTGTGAGCATTGCAGCAGTGGGACTTGCGAACTTGTGCACCAACTTCCTTTATGAACGTACCTGAGAACATCACCTTGAGAAAAAGCAGGCCAAACACAAGGAGGAACCCTTTTTGAGTATTACTGGGGAAGGTTTAAAGTGTTCTTCATTTATATGGGGGTTTGAACTGAAATAGCCACCTTGAAGACCTTTCGGTGCAGTTCACAGCTCCGTCCTTCCTCATCCCTCTAGTTTAGTTTTTATTTTAAATCCTTCTAGTTTCTGAGCAGCAAGCTCGCGTAAACGGGCGGGGATATTTCGAGGAGAGCATTCACAGTCACCCTGGGATTTATTACATCATAATAACGCCATTCGAATCCTGCCATTCCATAACCATGCGACGATGGAAGCCGAAAAAAAATATAATGGTCCATTCGTTCATATCTTGCGTTCGTGAGCATGATATCCGGATAAAACGACCATCACTTGGCTTTCAGTGTTGTGTAAGGTATTATGGTGTCATCAAACAATGATGTTTTGAGGAGCACATTTCTAAACAGAGAAATTGTGTGGCCTCAAGCAGTCTTTCTCCTTAAAAGGATATGAACAGTTATAAGTGAGTCTGTTTCATCATATTTGATGCTTATTTCAATACCATCAGATGTGAATCATTCCCTGTATCATTTTCCCTGTCCATCCCCCATACCTGGCTTATTGTGCAAAACTATGTTGTTGCCTGAAACTCATTTCCACATCCCCAGCGAGCACCAAGCTGTCTGATGTGTAATGCATATTACTTTATATTGGTGCATTTCTTAATTACTTTATGTAACACATTAGTGAATCCACAAAACATGCAGCATTACATATCTATTTATATATCTCCTTCCCTTCCAGAACACAAAGTAAACAAAATTTCTGAAGCCTTGTCATCAAATGAGAGCTCACACTAAAACACCCAGTTTGAGCCTTGGAATAACAAGATCTAAGGATGAAACACTGACAGTCACCATATGAAACAGCTATGAAGATCCCAAACACTGACTGTTGTGAACATGTAGTGAGTGTACAACTTGCATACAGTAATGCTGAATTGCATGGTCTGCAAACCTGCTGACATAAAGTGATCAACTTTATTAATCATGATTGGGGCTTTATATCTCACCAACTGCTAGGGTCATTTCTACACAAATGCCTTTCATAGCTGTGACATAGGATGCAGTGGTGTCAAAGAAAGGGCCAAAACCCGAAACTGACAGGTACAGAGCTGAGTACTCTTGCCATTATACCACTGCTGCCCCTCCTAATTGCCTTAAATAGAATATTACACTACTTGAGTGAATCACAATATATCTGCAGTCAGACAAACTTTTCCTAGTAGTGTGCTGAAAGCACATTCACATTCAGACAGCCTGACATCAATCCCACTCCCAGTTCTGCAGGCTAAGACTGACAAGTTGGTACCACTGGCTGTAGGTCCACTGCTGGGGAAAAGAACCACTGTAAGACACAGCATGAACCATATTCTATGTATGTTCATTAATGAAGACAAGTTCCACATACAACCACGCTGAACTAAATCGAAATGACATAACAGTAGTGCAGATGCATTAGAAATAACTTCTGGTGTGCATGCCGATTAATGTAAGCCACACAATGTCAATTAATTCATGAGCACACATACTTACTCTCTTGTATCTGCATGCCAGCCACAACCAGCAGTAGCACCAGTTGCTGGGGCATGACCATGATGACCTTTATAAATGCTTAGTTCATCAGAATACTTCCTTCTGGAAGCGCAATATGCTGAGTGCACAGCACAAGCAGTATAAAATACCTACAAATACTGACCTGAAAAGAAATATTCATCAGAACAGACATTTAAGGGGACAAAACTGCTAAACCCTGCTCAGCTAAATCATTCAGACAAATTGTGGCTTATGGCCTAAAACAAAATGAAGATTAGGTAGTATTGCTAATCAAAAGTGATTAAGACAACTAGTATAGCTATATCATGTAACCAGCACTAAGTTAATGGTATGTCAGTCTCAGTTGAAAAGTGCATTGAGTGACCTGTCACTGGCAGTAACATGGTCAATGCTGCAACCAAAGCTAGTCAGATGTTGGCAATGGTGTGATGCTCATTGGTTATGTTGTATGCATGCATAGTTTTGCATTTTTGTAAATTATAATCTGACCACATATCTAAAATGACAAGGCCACACTCAGCCTGTTCAATCCTGCTAAGGTGAAAATCTCCTTGGTACTCCTTGGAAGAACACAGTGACATCTGACAAGGCACACCAGAAGCCCTACAAAACAGGCCTGACTGTGAGTGCCTCAGACCCTTTGGCCTGCCACCACCATAAACAGGTGTAATTACAGGAAGAGGGTACAGACATTCCACTTCCCACACTCAGGTTTTGACTTGGACCACATCACCTTGATCAAAACTGCCACAGACTTGTGCAAAACAGACCACGATAGAAAGCTCAAGATGTCATACCACCCGAAGTCATGTAAGGTAACTTGGCATACCAGTTAACAGTTCAAACTACCTTCCTGGTGATGGAAGACATGATTGTGTTAATGAGTTTAAAAAAGTTGCAGATCTGTATCAGGTTTTGAACTGAAATAACCATCTTGACAATTATTTGGTGCAGTTCACAGCACTGTCCATTTTAAGACCTAAGCTCCACTGAGCCACACAAAGAGGTGCAGACTATTTCAATGTCACCAAGGCATTCATGATGACATAATAATACCACTCAAATTATGCCATTCCACTGGCCATGCAGCAGCCAAGGCCAAGAAAATACAATTGTTTTGCTCATACCTGGCCTTTGTGAGCACAATATCCAGATATAATGGCTGTCAATTTGCTCTCAATCAATGCTGTGCAAGGTATGGTGATGCAACCAAACAGTGACATCTTCAGGAGCATAACTACTAAATACAGAAATTATGTTGTCTAAAGCAGTCATTTTGGCTTAGAAGTATAAAATTAGTCATAAACAACACACTTCCATTATATCTGTTGCTACACTACCTTAAAATGTGAAATATTTCTTTTAAGACCACATCTGATCAGTTCTGGGAGGGAAATAAGCTTTTCATTTGAATTTAAGACTGTCATATTTGTCCTGACTGTGTCTTACAAGATCAGTATCCTTAGGCCTAGCTGGCAGCCAAACAACAAAAAGACTACTACACCTAACACTTGTAGCATAATAGTGACAGATGATGCCTTAAAAAATGACTTCATTTCTCATGCATAGCAGCATTGCTACAAAAATAAAATTGTGTGTGACTGTTATCCCGAGGTCTGAGATCAATGCACAGTTAACACTTATTTCAGGGCACAGATAGCCAAAGTTTCAAGAAATTATACATTTGCAAAGGTGATTTCAGGCAGAAAAAGTTCACAAATAGGTTTTTATCATGTAAGATAAACAGTCAGCATGATTTTAGCCTAGCCTGAGCTTCATAGAGACAAGCACAACAATTACCTCCAAATGCTGTATAAATGTCCAACACATTAGGTCAAATTTTTCAGACTGGGTGGCCAAGTCTCAAACCCTATGAGGAAAATGTACGACGTCCCACACTGAATATTCCCATAATTTGGGACTGTTTGGTTACCGGACCGGGAGCCTGACGAGAGCGGGACCTACAGGCCTAGTGGCCTTTTACAATTCCTGATCACCATAAGGTAAAGTAAGGTAGGGAAAATTAACATAATAATGAGCAGTCAGTTTCATACCACAAACTTACAGCTTTCACCATTCCATATCACTGTGCATCCAACCATCCAGGAACAATAAACTTCACAAGGGCTTTACCAGCTTAATGAAAAATGGCACTCCTTAGTAATGACAGGCAGTTCATGGCACATAAGGCCATATCATGGTAACTGAAATGGTTTACACTGCAAGTTTGCATTGTGGGACTGAATACAAAGACATAGGAACTCAGCCTAGTGTGATTTTCCCCAAGCTCCAATATTTATAGCAATAGACCATAAGTCAGATGATCTTGACATGGGATGAGAAGAACAATCTGAGTCCTGGTGTTCTGGATTTCAACTGAATAGAAAAAAGGCATCCCATATCTACAATAGTATTACGCTAATGTAATCATAACAGAGTCATAACATTAACTCAAGGTATATAAATTATGAAGGCATAGATCACGACCGCACAAAATAAATTCAAGGCTTTGAGAACAGTTGGTACTGCATGAAACAACATTACTAGGCTGATTTCACAAGCCATTTTAAGGTCATAAGGGCTCCGCAAAACACCACACCACACCCTATTACAAACAGCCGCATTCCCACTGCGTCTTAAACATATTTGAGTTGCGAACCGTTCGCAACCACGCAAACGTCTGTCAAGCTAGCAGCAGATTGATATCCAATTGCCAGTTGGATATTGCGGGGCGTCTCGATTGCCGCCAAATTTGGTGTGCAGGGCCTTCTCAACACGCTGATTCCGAAAATCAACGTCTTTGGGGTGGAATTTTGCGTAATTTTCGAGTTATACGCTGCGTAACATCCCAATGTGATATTGCGGGGCGTCTCGATTGCCTCCAAATTTGGTGTGCAGGGCCTTCTCAACACGCTGATTCCGAAAATCAATGTCTTTGAGGTGAAATTTGCGTAATTTTTGAGTTATACGCTGCGTAACATCCCAATGTGATAATGCGGGGCGTCTCGATTGCCTCCAAATTTGGTGTGCAGGGCCTTCTCAACACGCTGATTCCGAAAATCACTGCCTTTGGGGTGGAATTTTGCGTAATTTTTTAGTTATACGCTGCGTAACATCCCAATGTGATATTGCGGGGCGTCTCGATTGCCTCCAAATTTGGTGTGCAGGGCCTTCTCAACACGCTGATTCCGAAAATCAAAGTCTTTGGGGTGGAATTTTGCGTAATTTTCGAGTTATACGCTGCGTAACATCCCAATGTGATATTGCGGGGCGTCTCGATTGCCGCCAAATTTGGTGTGCAGGGCCTTCTCAACACGCTGATTCCGAAAATCACTGCCTTTGGGGTGGAATTTTGCGTAATTTTTGAGTTATACGCTGCGTAACATCCCAATGTGATATTGCGGGGCGTCTCGATTGCCGCCAAATTTGGTGTGCAGGGCCTTCTCAACACGCTGATTCCGAAAATCAACGTCTTTGGGGTGGAATTTTGCGTAATTTTTGAGTTATACGCTGCGCAACATCCCAATGTGATATTGCGGGGCGTCTCGATTGCCTCCAAATTTGGTGTGCAGGGCCTTCTCAACACGCTGATTCCGAAAATCGATGTCTTTGGGGTGGAATTTTGCGTAATTTTTGAGTTATACGCTGCGTAACATCCCAATGTGATATTGCGGGGCGTCTCGATTGCCTCCAAATTTGGTGTGCAGGGCCTTCTCAACACGCTGATTCCGAAAATCAATGTCTTTGGGGTGGAATTTTGCGTAATTTTCAAGTTATACGCTGCGTAACATCCCAATGTGATATTGCGGGGCGTCTCGATTGCCGCCAAATTTGGTGTGCAAGGCCTTCTCAACACGCTGATTCTGAAAATCAATGTCTTTGGGATGGAATTTTGCGTAATTTTCGAGTTATATGCTGCGTAACATCCCAATGTGATAATGCGGGGCGTCTCGATTGCCTCCAAATTTGGTGTGCAGGGCCTTCTCAACACGCTGATTCCGAAAATCAACGTCTTTGGGGTGGAATTTTGCGTAATTTTTGAGTTATACGCTGCGTAACATCCCAATGTGCTATTGCGGGGCGTCTCGATTGCCTCCAAATTTGGTGTGCAGGGCCTTCTCAACACGCTGATTCCGAAAATCACAGCCTTTGGGGTGGAATTTTGCGTAATTTTTGAGTTATACGCTGCGTAACATCCCAATGTGATATTGCGGGGCGTCTCGATTGCCTCCAAATTTGGTGTGCAGGGCCTTCTCAACACGCTGATTCCGAAAATCACTGCCTTTGGGGTGGAATTTTGCGTAATTTTTGAGTTATACGCTGCGTAACATCCCAATGTGATATTGCGGGGCGTCTCGATTGCCTCCAAATTTGGTGTGCAGGGCCTTCTCAACACGCTGATTCCGAAAATCAATGTCTTTGGGGTGGAATTTTGCGTAATTTTCGAGTTATACGCTGCGTAACATCCCAATGTGATATTGCGGGGCGTCTCGATTGCCGCCAAATTTGGTGTGCAGGGCCTTCTCAACACGCTGATTCCGAAAATCACTGCCTTTGGGGTGGAATTTTGCGTAATTTTCGAGTTATACGCTGCGTAACATCCCAATGTGATATTGCGGGGCGTCTCGATTGCCTCCAGATTTGGTGTGCAGGGCCTTCTCAACACGCTGATTCCGAAAATCAATGTCTTTGGGGTGGACTTTTGCGTAATTTTTGAGTTATACGCTGCGTAACATCCCAATGTGATATTGCGGGTCGTCTCGATTGCCTCCAAATTTGGTGTGCAGGGCCTTCTCAACACGCTGATTCCGAAAATAAATGTCTTTGGGGTGGAATTTTGCGTAATTTTCGAGTTATACGCTGCGTAACATCCCAATGTGATATTGCGGGGCGTCTCGATTGCCGCCAAATTTGGTGTGCAGGGCCTTCTCAACACGCTGATTCCGAAAATCACTGCCTTTGGGGTGGAATTTTGGAATCAGCGTGTTGAGAAGGCCCTGCACACCAAATTTGGAGGCAATCGAGACGCCCCGCAATATCACATTGGGATGTTACGCAGCGTATAACTCAAAAATTACGCAAAATCCCACCCCAAAGACATTGATTTTCGGAATCAGCGTGTTGAGAAGGCCCTGCACACCAAATTTGGAGGCAATCGAGACGCCCCGCAATATCACACTGGGATGTTACGCAGCGTATAACTAAAAAATTACGCAAAATTCCACCCCAAAGACGTTGATTTTCGGAATCAGCGTGTTGAGAAGGCCCTGCACACCAAATTTGGAGGCAATCGAGACGCCCGCAATATCACATTGGGATGTTACGCAGCGTATAACTCAAAAATTGCGCAAAATTCCACCCCAAAGACATTGATTTTCGTAATCAGCGTGTTGAGAAGGCCCTGCACACCAAATTTGGCGGCAATCGAGACGCCCCGCAATATCACATTGGGATGTTACGCAGCGTATAACTCAAAAATTACGCAAAATTCCACCCCAAAGACATTGATTTTCGGAATCAGCGTGTTGAGAAGGCCCTGCACACCAAATTTGGCGGCAATCGAGACGCCCCGCAATATCACATTGGGATGTTACGCAGCGTATAACTCAAAAATTACGCAAAATTCCACCCCAAAGGCAGTGATTTTCGGAATCAGCGTGTTGAGAAGGCCCTGCACACCAAATTTGGAGGCAATCGAGACGCCCGCAATATCACATTGGTATGTTACGCAGCGTATAACTCAAAAATTACGCAAAAGTCCACCCCAAAGACATTGATTTTCGGAATCAGCGTGTTGAGAAGGCCCTGCACACCAAATTTGGAGGCAATCGAGACGCCCCGCAATATCACATTGGGATGTTACGCAGCGCATAACTAAAAAATTACGCAAAATTCCACCCCAAAGACGTTGATTTTCGGAATCAGCGTGTTGAGAAGGCCCTGCACACCAAATTTGGCGGCAATCGAGACGCCCCGCATTATCACATTGGGATGTTACGCAGCATATAACTCGAAAATTACGCAAAATTCCACCCCAAAGACATTGATTTTCGGAATCAGCGTGTTGAGAAGGCCCTGCACACCAAATTTGGCGGCAATCGAGACGCCCCGCAATATCACATTGGGATGTTACGCAGCGTATAACTCAAAAATTACGCAAAATTCCACCCCAAAGACATTGATTTTCGGAATCAGCGTGTTGAGATGGCCCTGCACACCAAATTTGGCGGCAATTGAGACGCCCGGCATTATCACATTGGGATGTTACGCAGCGTATAACTCAAAAATTACGCAAAATTCCACTCCAAAGGGAGTGATTTTCGGAATCAGCGTGTTGAGAAGGCCCTGCACACCAAATTTGGAGGCAATCGAGACGCCCCGCAATATCACATTGGGATGTTACGCAGCGTATAACTCGAAAATTACGCAAAATTCCACCCCAAAGACATTGATTTTCGGAATCAGAGTGTTGAGAAGGCCCTGCACACCAAATTTGGAAGCAATCGAGACGCCCCGCAATATCACATTGGGATGTTACGCAGCGTATAACTCGAAAATTACGCAAAATTCCACCCCAAAGACGTTGATTTTCGGAATCAGCGTGTTGAGAAGGCCCTGCACACCAAATTTGGCGGCAATCGAGACGCCCCGCAATATCCAACTGGCAATTGGATATCAATCTGCTGCTAGCTTGACAGACGTACCACGCAACTACAATCGCTACGAGTATTGGCAATACTCGTAGCGATTGCGAGGTATTTGTAGAAGACATTAAAGTCTCTGGCTGTTTCAATTTAATCCGTTGCACGATTTCGAGCTTATTCTGGTTTCCCTTTAAAAGGAATTCCAATAGTTCAAGATGAAATCATTCTGTTATTTTTTGCTTGAATTCATTCTCCTAAAATTTTCTGATATCCGCAATAGTTTGTAAAACTGCTTAGCGGATTGGGCTGCTCAGTTATGTTTATAAGAAAACTTATGCGTCTATGTGTCTTTACAAAAATCCCTAGTTATTAAAAGAAACATCATTCATAGCTTCTTTCATGTAATACAATCGCCTATTTCTCAGGATTTAATTGTACGAAATCCCTCTTTACTAGCCGAGCAGCCAAGCGCCGGTGACGTCAGAGGTGTGGTCCAGCTGGGTTATAGTAAAAGCTGTTCTGATTGGTGACCTGCGAGGTAATGGCAACGTTTCAACCAATGATCTACACGTTCTGAACTCGGTCTCAGCCCCAAATATTGAGTGTCACAAGACATGCGCACAAGCTCAAGTCTTTCCCGGCCATATTCTGTCCCTGTCCGTTCGTGTGTTGCTGTCTGTTTGGTGCGTGTGAGAGCCTCACAAATCCAGCATAATGTCGACGGACGAGAGACCTATCTATGGGCCCTTCTTTGGAGTCATGGGCGCCGCCTCGGCGATGGTTTTCAGCGGTAAGTTATTTTGGTTTCTCAGCATGAGTGATGTACATTGAAATTGGCCGTCTGTCTTCGGTGCCGGGTATGCACACCAATGTAGGGGACATGTGGTATAGCACATGTAGCAGTGCCCACACGCATCTCCTTAAGTGCAATGGGCTGTCAGTCTGAGTGCCCATTCCAGTCTGCTGCAAATGGCACATCCCCACGAGATCCTATGTGAGAGGGTTGGGGCAAAATCAAATACTTTGCATTTCCTTTTAAACTTTGGGATGACGTACTGAAATGGGTCATTTCATGCTATTGTGGGGCCGTCAGCATCTGAAATTTGATTTTACCTTGTGGGGAGAGAAAAATTACAAAATCATGGCTTGGAATGAGAAAATAGCCCAGGCGAATTTGTACCATAGGCACAGCTGGCACTGTAGGTATTCTTTTTTCTTCAGAGGACAGAAAACATCATGCACTAGCTGGTCTCAGTGATTTCTAAACACCCTCAAAGATTAGCTGTGTGCAAGTCTTCAATTTTCTGGACCATCTGTATTCTTGAGGCTATAGAGTTGATAATGTTAGTCACCTACTAGTTAAGTTGTTGATAATTTTATTGTAAAGGTGTGACCCAATTAATCCTGGTAGTAACCAATGTCTTAAATATTGTGCATCTGTTAAATAATTATCCAGAGAACTTTGTGAGTGTGGGTGTGGGTTTGTGTCATTGGTACTTTATGGTGCACTCAGCTGCTAAGGCTATATGGTATCCGCCTCTCACCCAGGCAGAAAGGGCAGGCACATTAGGGAATCAAATCCTGTACCTCTGGTCTCCCAGATGTGCAATGGTTAACATGGACATGTTAGCCACTATGCTACCTGCACCCCAGAGAACATCATGACAAATAAATGATTTTGATGTTATGCATACCACAATAATATAGATAGGAATATCAGGGACATGGTAGTTAGTGCAGCCATGTTCTAGCCAAGGTACTATCTTTTTTACCTAAGGGACAGATGCTGGGGTAATGAGATACCCATGTGGCTTTTAGTGACCTAGGTATGTATTATATTTTGAACTAGGGGTGTAGTTTGCCATTCAGTTGGATGGGATGCTAACCCCTCCACTAATGTTCTACAAAAATTTGGTCAAAATCAGAGGGAACATGGCTTGCATTTTTTGTTTGGGCCTAGATATATATCTACCCACCAGCTGCAGAAAGCTAAGTGCAAAACTAAATCATCTAGGACTTTAGGCTGCTGTGTGATCAGTGCTCAGAGGTCACTGCAGCTGGGGCTGAGGAATTATTTTCTCCTCATAGAGCAAGCCAGCATCAGATAGCGCTGCTACATCTGCACACAAATGTTGGGTGTGATGCAATACTCCCAGCACTGTATGACACAGAGCTGAACTTATATATTGCCTTTGTCTATACTATCAACCACTCCCTCTATCACTGCCCAACACAGCTCCAGTGCACCCAGCATGGCTCCTGCATGTGGCTCTTCCAAAAAAGAACTAAGGAAGGCTATGTAAATGGCACTCACAGAGCAGCAGTCTTCAGTCTTTCATGACAGAACTACTGTAAGTTATTTATTGGTTTTTATATGGCTTTTTTAGGGCTGGATTAATTTTGTAAAAACTTTTCATTGGCAACAGCCAGCTCAGTTTAAAGGTTGATCTCAAAAACAACTAGTTATGTAATTATAGAACCAAAAACTCTGCTCAATGGAGAATAACAAATTGCTTTAGCTTTATACTCAGATGATGATTTTGTGTTGATGCTCTGTAGATTGATAGACAAATCCTGTGCTTTTTTCCTTCTTTTGTGTGCTTCATCCTGTCCTCAGCTCAGATTTATTGGCAGAGAATATGCCTTCTCTCCAATGCCCCCAACAGCTGAAGACTCATGGAGCCATGGATTTCCATGTGCCCAAGCAAGTGTTTTGGATACTGTTTGATGTCACTGTTGTATCTTCTATATCATCTGCATTTGGGTGGGAATTGCAATCATATAGCTCACTGGTTCTGCAACCAGTTAAAACCAGCTTAATTAGTTCCTGTAGATATGTATCCCCAGATTTTGGCTAAGTTGTGCTAGTGAGCCAAAGACAGTCTGCACACTTACTAGTAAGGCAACTTGAATTGGCTTGCCGACTTATCTTCAACACAGCTGACAGACCAGTGGGGAACCTCCCCCCCCCCCCAATTGGTTAACTGGTATAGGCTTTGAGAAGAAAGTAGGTCATATTTTGGGAAAAGCTTGTTTGCCAGCATAACTTTGGGGGCAGGTTTCATCATTTTTCATGGTTCAGCCCTCAACACATTTTGTAGAGCTATGCCCCTGTAACAGGCCTGGTTGACTGGTACAACCCTTTTCCTATTTCTGTCATGCACCAATATTGCGGCCAATGCAACTGAAAAAGTGCTGAATATCCCCAAAAGTTGAAAAATGAGCTCCTACTTACATCTGGTCTTGAACTTGCTATACCTATATGAAGCTCTATTTCCAGCAGATGCTTACATGTCATCTCACTTAATGTTGCTCATGTATAACATGTGGATGGGATATGCTTGAAAGCACTAGAACCCATGTGCTGGTGCTAGTCTTGGACACATGAGGAGGTCTTTCCAAACACAGGACTACCCAATGACACTTTCACACTGAACTCTGCTCCTCTCAGATATTTGTCTGGATTGCTGTTTTCAAATAAGTGCATCAGACTTTGAAACCAGAATGTGCTGCCTGGCAGCAACCATTGTGTCTTATGTTGCATTATGTTTCAATTAATTTCAACAGAATTGCTATGGTTAAAATATTGGCCAAATGCATGGTAATTTACAAATGTAGGCAATTTTGTTTTACTCAATGGTGTTGAACAAATGGTATGGTCAGTTTGTGATGGTACATAATTTTGTATGAAACATTTTCAAATGGTGTGGAACATGCATGAGGCCTTAAAGGTGTAGGTTATTTGTGTCATTCCATTAAGATGAAGCCAGTGACAATATTGTTGATACCATTAGTGTAATGCCTCTTTGGCACTGCCATTTCTTTTCACACTGGCACTGGAATTGATGTGATAAAACAGCATGACATGCTTTGCAGTAGCTCATTTAATGTTGCTTCATCATATTGCGCACTGTCTCTTTGATATGAGCAGAAACTAGTGCTCTTCAGCTATCTAGTGTTGTGATATAGTGATGAAACATGCCAAGAAGGCTCCGCACACTTGGCAGAGCATCTGTAAGATGTCATAGAATTTGTTGTGTTTGCCTCTTCGCAAACAGTGGGGACTGGGGGATGACACATATTTTAAGTGATGTCAGATAGGTTCTATGTTGTATATTATATCATATTAATTTCATCTTTGTCTGAGTATGGATTTCATTGTCAGTGCTAGATCACTCATGCTGAACAATTGCTTGCATCCCATTGCTTATTTTTACCAACACTAGAGCTTGATCTATAGCATTCTAAGTGAAATATACTGGTTTATATGATGTCTACACCCAGCTTGCTAAAACTCTGGAAATGTGGTATTATTACCCACAGCAAGGGCAGTTGTGAGTCAGGGACCTGTGTATCTGTGTGGTGATCAAAGGTGACTCCTGATATGGAGTTAAAATCATTGTGATGCTATCTGATCTGCTGTTTTATCCCTTTTCTCTCTGTATCCACCATCCTTGTAATGCTTGCTTGTGCTGGATTGGCTGCATGTGCCAGCCGTGACTGAGCTGAAGTGTACCCTGCTGGGGCCATCCAAGCCCCAAGCCATACCCTGAAGAGGGTCCATGTGCAACATAAACCCTGGCAGATGGGGCCCCCTGGCATGTGGGTGTGCTCCACTGTTGTCCATTTCCCCTCCCCCCCCCATCTCATTGTCCCGAAACAGTATGACTTATGGAAAGGGTTCTAATCCAAGCAACCAAGCCATTGTGATGCGTTCTCGCCGACCTTCCCCCCTTGTAAAGAAAATCCTAACCATGCCTGTCTTATTTTGTAGTAAATATGGTCTAATTTCTAGCCTTGGTGGCCCAGCCCACATGACTTATTAGTCTGAAGAGGATCTGTGGCTACATGCTGCATTAGTCATTTAATAGTTGAGTTGTGAGATGTCCATAAAAGAAAACTCTAGCTATGCTTGTCTTGTTTTGTAATAAACATGGTATAATTTCTAGCCTTGGTGGGCTAGCTGACATACTTATTGGCCTTAAGAAAATCTGTGACTATGTGCTGAATTAGCTATTCAACTGTTTAGGCACGGAATGACCACAGTAATATGCGCGCCTTAAAGCCCCAATCATCATCTCCACCACCATGGTGGTCTTGCAGCCTGTACCTGGTTGGTTGACCACCAACCTGAAAACCTGTTCACCACAGCCAACCTTGTCTAGTATGATGACCTGTGGCTGTAATGAATTGTTTCTGTGTGTAACAATAAAGCCCAATGTGCCATGGGGCTTAACATGTCTGAAATGTGCGGCAAGAGACTGATTTCATGTATTTGGGAACCTATTCTACACACTGCTGTAGTCTTGAGACTATTCGCTACATCGCATGATCATGATTGCAGTGGCATATGCGTCGCAGATCTCAAGGCATTTAAGGCCTAGTGGTGTACAACGCAGGTCTTACATTTTCCACATGACCCGACTAGCACAGGGTGGCGCCTGCTGCTTGCGAGCATCCCCGCCTGTCGTGTGCGTACCACGCGTCGTCGGCCTCCGCCCTGACCCCGGTCTGTCTCGCTGCAGCGATGGGCGCCGCGTACGGCACGGCCAAGTCGGGCACCGGCATCGCGGCCATGTCGGTGATGCGGCCCGAGCTCATCATGAAGTCCATCATCCCGGTGGTGATGGCCGGTATCCTGGCCATCTACGGCCTGGTGGTGGCCGTGCTGATCGCTGGTGGCATTACCAAGCCGGCCACCTACGAGCTGTTCTCGTGAGTCGGGACCCTGCGACCGCGGCTACCGCCGCCGGCGGCGCGTGGCGTGTCTCCTCGGCTCAACGCGTGTCGTTTTCACCGCGCTGAATAGCGTTGATAGTCGCATTATGACGGGCGTGTTATTATAAACAGCAGCGACTCCCTGTCCTGCGTTTTTGGTGTTTTTTCTGGTACTTTGCACTGCTTATGTGTAACACACCGCGCGGCCTGCCTTGTTTACGGGCGGCATGCGGGGTGTCCGGCTGTCGCCCGCCTGGCGGCGACGCGCGCTCTGCCGGGCACCAGCCGGAGACGTGCTCACATCGCCTCTTCTGCGTCCGCAGCGGGTTCGTGCATTTCGGCGCCGGCCTGTCGGTCGGCCTGAGCGGGCTGGCGGCCGGCTTTGCCATCGGCATTGTGGGAGACGCGGGCGTGCGCGGCACGGCGCAGCAGCCGCGCCTCTTCGTCGGCATGATCCTCATCCTCATTTTCGCCGAGGTGCTCGGCCTGTACGGCCTCATCGTGGCCATCTTCCTGTACATCAAGGCGTAAGCCGTGTCCGGGGCGGACCGGTCGGCGCGCCGCGCGAGCAGTGGCGCGCCGACGCGCTCGCGCGCATATCCAGCCAGTGGCGCACGTCTCAGTGTCCCCTGTGTGCGTCATGTGATGCCGCTAGGGCGGTAGGGCGTCACCGCCGGGGCCCTGGCCCGCAACATTCCACTTTCGACATGTAAAATACGCGCCGATGGGTACGGTGGCCAAGCACACACTTGTTGCTAAATACGAACACAAATTGGAAGAACCGCACGCTCGGACCGCATGCAGGGCAGTCCTGTGTGGGGCCCATATACACGCAGTCTGGCAAGGGCCGGTGTCAGGAAACCGCCCCGGCCGATGGCTGCCTGTCGGCTGCTCAGCGCCAGTCGTCAATAACTGGCCAATCAGCGGTGCCTGTTCTCAGCCGACGCAGCGCTGATTGGCTACGACACCTGCTGTTTGCTGCTGACTATTGAACATTGCTGTAGAATACGTGAACCGTTTTTGAACGATTATTTCGATTGGTGACTGTTGCTGCAACTTAGTTTCCATATATAGCAGTGGCGTGATGCTCTTTGGACCTCTAATTTACTTACCAATCTTATAACTATGTTGGTAATGTGTTGATGATCTGTACAGTGCTATGTATGTATAATATTTTATGTGACGGGAGAGACATCAGACGGATGTGTTGTAATTGTGAATGTGCTCTGTATATATGGGTAGGATTGTTGTAATTGTTGGTTGGACTCACCGAAACCGGTAGTCCAGCCGTGTATCTTCCCGTAGGATAACCCAAGAATGGATATATGGTGCACATTGCTCTGGTACGGAATTTACCCGTGTTGTTTAATCATTTATCGCTGTTTGCAAGACTCGAACTCGTGAAGACAAAAATATATGTGTAGCCTCTAACGGTTTTGATTGTGGCTAAACGGAACACGATCAAGGTTTGAAGAGCATTATTCTCTGTGTGGAAAATGAATTTCAAACGAATTGCGGTACAAAAACAGAGGCAGACTGCTTATACGCGCAGCGCAGCTGACGTGACGGGCTTTATCACCGCGCCTGCCATCCTTTTGTGGGGCTGCAAATTACAGCAGCAATTGAAGCTCGCACTGGCTTGCCAAAAGTAAACAAACTAGAAAACACATGCAAGCATTTTAGACAGCGCTGATCCTCAGGTGCAAGCGATGCCATGGACTCGTGTGCAGCGCGGACCGTTCCATTCAATGCAATGGCATGCCTTTATTTTCGACACGCCATTATTCCCCTCTAGTATGAGGGTTTCTGTTCGCGACAAGGAGAAGCGTAATTTAACATGCTTTCTGAGCATTGATTGACAGTTCTTCAATATGCCTAATGTGTTCAAACCACGAACTGAATATGAGCATGAACATGTACCCTGGTATCAACAGACGCCGTGTTCGTAAAGGAACCTGGTATAGGTTTAGTTAAGGACCTATGCCTTTTAAGCGAGCTATGCCGTCTTCCGTTAAACGTCCCGCCGGCCCTTAGTGGGCCAAACCATTTAAATAGTAAGCATCACACTATCAACGAATGAGTAGAACGCACTAACAAGCCGATTCGTAGGAAATGCCGAGAACTGCACGTGAATGCCGGTCGTCAGCGCGGCCATATTCGGCATGGTAAGTCCGCCGTCGCATGATCCCTCGGTCACGCTAGTGGGGAGGGAGACCCGCTGCCAACGCCATCTACCGGTGCTAGCGCACGTGCGCCTTAACGCAGGTGGCTGCCCGGTCACAGCAAGGGCTTCGGACGCGCGGGGCTACCGCAGGGAGAACTGCCCACTGCTGAACGTCACAACACCGGTTGTCGTCACTAAATAGAGGCGGTCACATCTGGCGGCGTCGTCGCGCAGGTAAAGGGGTCTAAACGGAGGTTTCCCATGATGAAACCTCGTCAAGGGGACCCAAGAAGCTGATGAGAAGCGTTCTGTGGCGTGAAACGATCGCGGTTATAACTGGCGGGAGTGTTATTGTAGGCAGAGTAGATGGCTACAAATTCTAAGGGCATGGAACCAGGCGTACCAAAAACAAACGTCCAAATCGGATGGATTAACGCACTGGCATGTGCGTCTTTCATGATAGCAACCAAGAAGCACAATGATGTGGCATTCGCCCGCTGATTTAGCAATGCCTTGGCTTTGGGACTGGTTGGCTCTGGGTCTGGCCTGGCCCGGCCAATTCACATCAAGTGGAATTGTTACAGCGAGACTGTTTTCGGTGAATCAGTGTTGGCTAAAGTAAAATGGGATGCTGCATGTGTGGTTTGCGCGACCCAGTGACCCAACGGTAGATTGCGATCCAGCCCGGTTTTCAAAAGACGCCATTGTTAGTTTTACATCAACCGCTGATATGGATAGCGTTGGTAGCGTTGCTCACTGGTCTGTAGGGGGCAGCGGACGCGATGTCCGGCACCAGTGTCAGCGGTACACCGATCCAGCCTGCCGAGGACAGCGGCGCAGATGCCAGTCACCCTTCACACCAGGATCAGCGGCACACCGATCCAGCTTGCCGAGGACAGCGGCGCAGATGCCAGTCACCCTTCACACCAGGATCAGCGGCACACCGATCCAGCCTGCCGAGGACAGCGGCGCAGATGTCAGTCACCCTTCACACCAGGATCAGCGGTTCACCGATCCAGCCTGCCGAGGACAGCGGCGCAGATGCCAGTCACCCTTCACACCAGGATCAGCGGCACACGGATCCAGCCTGCCGAGGACAGCGGCGCAGATGCCAGTCACCCTTCACACCAGGATCAGCGGCACACCGATCCAGCCTGCCGAGGACAGCGGCGCAGATGCTAGTCACCCTTCACACCAGGATCAGCGGCACACCGATCCAGCCTGCCGAGGACAGCGGCGCAGATGCCAGTCACCCTTCACACCAGGATCAGCGGCACACCGATCCAGCCTGCCGAGGACAGCGGCGCAGATGCTAGTCACCCTTCACACCAGGATCAGCGGCACACCGATCCAGCCTGCCGAGGACAGCGGCGCAGATGCTAGTCACCCTTCACACCAGGATCAGCGGCACACCGATCCAGCCTGCCGAGGACAGCGGCGCAGATGCTAGTCACCCTTCACTAACCAACGCCGCTCGCGTGACGGCTGCGATGTTCTCGCGAAGCTCGCTACGTATGGCGACAGCAATGGGTCCCAGAGAAATGCATCGGTGCAGCCAAAAGCCTGAGGGATTATCAGTCAATGCCAATCTTACCGTGCGTTATATCTTATCTTACCTCGCTCTTGACTGCACAGCCCCTGATCTCAGCACGCGTCAGTTTTACGCAGAATCTGACCAACCGTCCACATCTTTAAGGACCACATACATCTTTGAGGCTTAGTTTATCTGAATGGCGACTGAACCGAATTGAAACATTCAACCAGAAGTGAATGGACGTCCATAAAGTGAAAGACGTGTTCGCTTTTGCATTCAGCGTTGGGTACCGATTCCGCTTAAAATAGGTATCTGGATCAAGCAAATAACGATAACGAACGAACGAACGCCCGATGATAACGAAAATTACGTTCATTTTCCTCTAACCCAAACAGAATGACCTCCAAAAGTGAATTAACCAAGTAAGAATGCCGTGCCGCCGCTGTAAAACAGTGGCACCTTTCAGCACGATCTGATCTGAAAGCTAGCCATCATTTTTAACCTCATTAGAGCAATGTCAAACCTAACGTCTACTTAAGTGGTAAAGGCCACCAAAACATGATTGTAAAAGACCAAAAGACGGGGTAGCGTTGCATTGACGCTACACGGAATGTATTTGTGTAAATAGGGCGTTATTAGAAAGCCCGTTGTCGATATTAACCTCGGCTTCAAAAAACACCGGATTCCGAGGCAAAATTCAAGGTCAAACTCAAGGTCAAAGGAAGGGAGAGCGCCAGATTACTGCTGTACGGGACAGATCTGTACAAATAATGCGTCATGAGAAAGTCTGTTGTCGATTCCAGCCTGGACTCACCACCCCCACGAAAAAAAAAACAGAGTTCAAGCCAAACCCCGAGTAAAAGTTCAAGGTCAAAGAGCGGGATAATGCCGCACTGCCGTTGTATAATATTGATCTGTATGAATAGTACATCATTAGAAAGCTTGTAGTCTATTTGAGCCTGAAATACCGAAACGCCAAATTTTGAAGTCAATTGTATGGGCTAGAAAAATCCAAAAAGCAAATTTTCAGGGACAAGGCATGGGGCAGTACCGCACTGGCGCTGTATAGGACATACTTTTACAAATAAGGCGTCATTAGAAGGCCCGTTGTTGATTCCAGCTTTAACTTCTAAAACGCACCAGAGTCCAGGCCAAAGCTCAAGGTCAAGCTGGAGGTCGAAGCACCGGGTAGCACCTCATGGCCGCTGTATGGGGCGGATTTGTACAAATAAGACGTCATTATAAAGCCCGTTGCCGATTCCAGTCGAGGCTTTCAAAAACACCAGAGTGCGAGCCAAAACATAGGATCAAGTATAGGGTCAAAGGACGAGATAGCACCGCGCTGCCGCTGTATGAGATTTATCTATTCAAATGATATATCATTAGCAAGCGCGTAGTTCCAGTAAAGCTGTATAGTTCCAGCCTGGGACATCGAAACAGCATTTCTAAAGACCCATTGCGGTGGTAAAAATGGTCCAAAAGGAAATTGTCAAGGTCAAGTGTCGTATTAGTCGTATTAGTCGTAGTCGTATTACGGCTGCATGGCACGGATATGCACAAATAAGGTGTCATTAAAAGTCGGTTGTCAATATCATCCTGGGGTTCCAAAAACACCGGCGTCAAAATCAAACCCCAAGGTCAAATTCCAGGCCCAAGGACGGGGTAGCGCTTCATTGCCGCTGTATGGAACTGATGCGGACCTGTTTTTGGAAGCCCAGCCTTGAATCAACAACGGGTTATCTAATGACGCCTTTTTGTACAAATTCATCCAATACAGCGGCAGTGCAGCGCTACACGTCATTTGCCCTTGAATTTGCCCTTGGGTTTTTGCTTGGGTCCTGTTGTCTTGAAAGCCCAGGCTGATATCGACAACGGGCTTACTATTGACGACTTGTTTTTACAAGTCCGTGCCATGCAGCGGCAATGAGAGGATACCCCGTCCTTTGACCTTAATATTTGCCTTGGGTTTTGGTTTTAAAGGTGGTGTATCCCGAAGCTGAGGCTGAAAGCGATGACGGGCGTTTTAATGACGTCTTGTTTGTACAAATCCGTCCTATACAGCGGCGACGCGGCGCTACCCCGTCCTTTGATCTTGGAAAGGCGTTTTGGAGATTTCTGAAAACCACAATGGACTTAACAGTTTGACATTCTGATATTCCAGGCTGCAACTGATGACTGGGTTTCAGATCAAATCATATTTTGAGACATCGAAGTCATACAGAAGCGTTAAAGCGTACTGACTCGGTACCTCTGCGTAATTCTGGAGGTCAGTCTGCTTGAGTAAGAGGAGAATGAGCCTCAGTTTCGGTATTAGCGGATCGTGTTTGACCTCGGCACACTTTTTAGCGGAATCGGTACTCGGTACTGAATTTGTATACGAATGCGTCTTAGCGTCTAACCTAACTTACTCGTCTAACTTAATGGACTTCAGTTCCGTCCAAAATAAGCGCGATACAACTTTACGCCATCCGTTGACCTTGAAAATTGTTTTTTTCACCGCTTGTGAAACCGCTGCACCGCTTTTTTCCACCGCTACAATGAAACCTGAAGTTTGACGTTTTCATATCCGGGCCTGAAATCGGCCACGATGTTCGTAATGATGCATTAATTTTTCAAATCAATCCCATACAGCAGCAGTGCGATGCTACCCAATTTGACCTTGACACCCAATTTTACCTTGGGTTTAGACTATGAATGTGGTCTTATGGAAACCCAGGCTGAAATCGTCCATGGT